TTCATCCTCCATCTAGATTCTTTAACGTCCCTGCTCCCTGCTCCCTGCTCCCTGCTCCCTGCTCCCTGCTCCCTGCTCCCTGCTCCCTGCTCCCTGCTCCCTGCTCCCTGCTCCCTGCTCCCTGCTCCCTGCTCCCTGCTCCCTGCTCCCTGCTCCCTGCTCCCTGCTCCCTGCTCCCTCGTTCTTCATTCTTTAACAGCCCTTCTCCCTCGTTCTCCCCGCTTCTCCTCCATACCCGAATTTTCTGTCATCCGCCTTTCAACCTTGATCCGTTCATCCTCTTTACTTTATCTCGCGTTCTCTCCTTCAAACTTTATCCCCCTTCTCGATCCGTGGCCGTTAAATCTTCATTTTATCCATCGCATCTTGCTCCCCCTCTCTGTGCTGGTGAACGCGTCTCTTCTCTTCTTTGCCATTGTCCCTTACCTACACCCTTGCCCAACACTCTTCTTTGCCTTTCACCTTCATGCCCCCTACTTATCCTTGAGATTTTCTACTTTCATCAATCTTTATTGACAGCCAGCCGATAATGCACTTCCCATGCATGAAGAGCGACAAATCGCTCCATGCAGATAACGTTCCACTACTTCAATATCAAGGAACGTTTTCTGCGTTATCTTCAAAAAGAATGAAACGACAACATGCCAAATGAGTAGTGTATTCATTTGTCTACTTTCTTGTTTCTCTCACATGATCGGCCCAGAAAACGTCTCAGCAGTTCCGCCCTGTACGCACACATCATCTGAACATTCGAATCACTGATGATGGTCAGAGTGACTTTATTCTTCTTTTCTCATCATCATCATCGTCATCATCATCCTACTACTACTACTGCTGCACTTAACTGCTTGTGCTCTACTCTACTCTACTCCTGCCCGTCTATCCTTCCCCTCCTCGTTCTCTCCCGTCTCTTCGCGCTTGCGCTCCTCCCCCGCCGGCCTCTCGATCGCGATGAGAGTGCGGCGGCTCGATCGCTTCCGGCGGGCCTCCTGCCTCGCGGCCCGGAGCTCAGACTCAAGGCCGGCCAGCTCTCGCCGCTCGCGGCGCAGCTCCTCCGTCAGCTCTCCTAGCCGCGCTCGCTTGCTCGCGTACGAGGCCTCGAGCCCAACAAGCTCCTCCTCCTCCTCGTCGTCGTCGCGGACCTGAGTGATGTGGCGGTGGTGTGCGGCGGTAGAGCGTCGGGCTATCTCGACCCGGAGGCGGCCGTCAGAGTACTCGGAGCGGATCTTGCGGGGGTCGGCGTCGGAGGGGAGGGCGATGCGCTGGCGGAGGAGGACGGAGGAGGAGCTGCGGGGGGAGCCCTCAGTGTCGTCTCGGTCGGAGGCAGCCAGAGACCCGGCCGACACGACGAGCTCCAGCGTCCGGTCGCCTACGAGCGTCAGCGCCAGGTCCCTCGCCGCCACCCCGGGCGTGTCCATGGTCACCACGTGGGCGTCAGGCAGGGACTCGAGGCGAGGCATCGGGGCAGCTGGGTGAAGGCGGCGCGAGGTGAGGGCAGGGTCGTACCAGGAGGGTGACCGGAGGGCTGCATCCCAGGCTGAGTCCAGCTCGGACAGGAGGGAGGAGGAGGAGGAGGAGGAGAAGCGGGGAGGAGAGGCGTAGATATAGAGGAGGGGAGAAGGCGCCTGGAAAGATCTAGAAAAGCGGGGGGGCGTTCTAGAATGGAGGGATTGGGTTTGTAGGAGAGTGTGTCTAAAAATAGAGCGGGTTTGGAGAGTTTTGAGGAGGGGGTACGACGCCTGGGGAAGGTAGGGGGTAGAGGCCTGGCAGGAAAGGGGTGGGGTGGAGGCTGCTGCTAAAAATAGCTCCATTTTTGTGCACACCCTGGTCTATAAAACCTCCTCGATGGTCTTCCCCCCGACAGTCTGTTCACCGTCTACTCTTGTGCTTAGCCGTCGTCCTTCCTTTCGTCTGAAATGCTCGCTGTTCTCCCTTCTATCTTTCTCTCCTCTCCTGCTTTGTCTTCCTCTCTTCTACATGATCCCTTCCTATACCACCGCCTGCCCTTCATCGAAGTCGGAGGCGTTCAGGACAACGAGAGGGTTGGTCTGGATCTCAGCTGGCCGTCCAGCGGCCTTGGCTCATACAACCCTCTCCGTCTTTCTCTCCGCACCTCTCCCTCCCATGACGTCTACATCGTCTCCGCCTCTACTCCCGGCCTCCCAGCATCGGCTATCAAGCTCGAGCTTGTAGGGTCAGACACCCTCACTTTCACCATCGACGAGTCGAGAGGACTTAAGGATGTCGGCGAGTCAACCTCCCCTATCTCGCACTCGCACCTCCAGCAGTCTCTTCGTCTTCCTGGCCCTGTTGACCCCTCCAGGATCCGCATCGTCTACCGTGATGGCCTCCTGACCGTCTACGCGCCACCAGCGGACGAAACGTCGGGCGGCCTCGAGGACGAGCCTGAGGTAGCGGCGCTCCAAGCTGAGGCCCAGCAGGCGAGGCTCAAGTATCTTGCCCTCCTCGACCAACTCCGCGTCGCCAAACACCAAGCCGATGAGGCCGAGAATCGAGCCCGGTCTGCGCGTAAAGCCGCGGCTGCTGCTCGCTCCAAGAGGAGGGTTCAGCTCTCTGTCGGGGGCGAACGGGAGCCGCCGACCGCTCAAACTCTCGTGGACGTGAAGCCCGCGAGCCCTCAGCCTCCCGTTGCCCCCGCGACAGATTCGTCGCCGACAGCCGCAGGTGCGACGGCAGAGGTGACTGACTCCGCCGTTCAATGAAGTCTCGGAGGCCATAGATAACCGTCTACTAGCGAGTGTTAGATGTATACAGAGCAGAGCAGTGGATGCTCAATCATATAATTGCAATAAAGAGCGACAGATGAGATATGTGTTCACTTCAGGCTTGTCACTGGTTCCGATCCGAGTTCCGCCCCCTCTTGTCCACTGCAAGAACTCTTCAGGGCTCATCAGTTTTTGAACTTCGGAACGTGTACTCAGGTGACTGGGGACTTCTTCAGTCATAAGTGCTTCCGGGACTCGCCGATCACCGGGCCCGGCCGGGTCTCATGAAGTGGCCAACTTCAAACAAAGTCACTGCAGCATTTTAGACCTGAAGCTGCCGAACCACCCCCGAACCCTGTACAAGGGACGTGCCTTGGTGGGGTCGCCCGACAAACAGGGACCCGGCGGAACGTTTAGTCAACATTAGTACCAGCTTGAAGAGGACCTATCACCTTATCTTGAGTGGGCCTTTATTACACGCTACAGCAGCCATATACGACCGCAATGCACTCGGCAGGCAGCGGCAGCCTGACGGTGCTGCCCTTGCTCGCTCTCATCCTCGTCACACTTGGGGGAAGGATAGCGGCTTCTACTGTAGTTCACGCCCCGAGGTCCAGCTCCTCCTCCTCTGAGAGCAGCGTGAGCACCGCAAGCCATGTCAGAGCTATGGGTCAGCCCCCACTGCCCGCCATGAAAGGACTGCCATGTGCCAACGACTACTTGATGGAGCTCGGAAAGAATGCCAGCATGATGGTTTCCACGTGTTTGGGAATACCGATGCAGCCAGGCAGTATCAATATGTCCATGTTTGCGAACCAAGGACTGTTCATGGACAAATGTCAGGTTTCTTTTGCAAACATCTCCAGTTGCTTATCTCAGCTTGAAAACTACTCTTTCCCTGACATGTCAAACATGTCGTGTGTGAAGGAGATGTCAAAGGCAGAAATGAAGAATGAGTCTGTCGTGATGCAGGAAATCAAGATGTATGCGATGCAAGCATGGCAGAACGTGACTATGAATGGGAAGGGAATTTTAAGCATGATTTGTCTCAACGTAAACGGACATTATTGCATGCCGGAGTTTCTCAGTCTTTCTCGCGCAGCTAATGTGACGCAAACTATGTCTGTGAGGCCCCTCTTTGATCTCTCAAGTCATCAAGACTGAAGCCTCCTTACAGGGTATGGACAGGCAGACGGCGATCATGGCGATACCAGCTCTCTGCTCCTCTCCTTGCTTCAATGCCCTCTTGCAAGCCTTCGAATCTCTCGTCAAATTCTTTCCTCCACCTGGCCCGGCTCCTGCAAATCCCATGATGATGAAACAAGGCTTCCAAGCTGTATGCACGATCAAAGACTCAAGTGGGAAGTATTGCTTCGCTAACTCATATGCCACGATGACGAGCTCTGCATACGTGTGCTCGGAGTGTGGCTCGTTGGTAATGAGAGGCGATGATCTTGCTTGTCCACTGAGAGGAGGGTGACAGATGATGGCTGCTGGACTTATAGATCTACAAAAGAATCTTCCAAGTGGCCTGTCGCCGCAAACGTTCAGCATGGTCGTGCCGATGATGTGTCTGAAAGGTGATAGTTGTGGGTACAAGGTGTAAGATGTCATGGTGACATGAAGTGCTGGCCATTAGATGGAACGCAATACTGCCTGGACAAAGCGAACGGATTTCAAACAGTCTTGACAGGAGGGCTTTCTTGCTTGAGTGCTCCGACTCCAGGAACCTGTCCTACCGACAACACGTGTAAGGTGACGATGATACTTGCTGGCCTTGCGGTTCGTCTCTGACAGAGTGAGATACAGCAAGCGATAGTGCAAGCTCAGGGCATGGGCTGTTGCGTCGGGTCTCTTCTCAAGTTGAATCCTTCAATCGATGGCGTTGTAGCAGGAATCGCCAAGGATTGCAAACTGACCATCCCGGACCCCTGTATGTCTTTCTCTTACCGCTGGCGGTATCAGTCCCTGATACAGGAGATTGATTTGGCCACATTCAGGTCAGGCTGGACCAAGGATCACCTTCTCGATCGACATCTCCAACCTCAAGTATAGTTGGTACTCTGCAAGCACGGCCAACTCAGACACAGCCAACAAATATGTGAGGATTGCCTTGAATGATCTCGCCGCTCTGACTGTCTCATGTCAACCTTCAGCTCGGTCATGACATCGGCGGCTTCCTGAAGGTCCTTCCGGTTGTGGTAAAGCATCCGACACACTCAGCGAATGCTGTGTTTTACTTGGATGATGGGATAGGTGAAAACTGTGGCCTCGACGCAACTCTCAACGACCAATCCCTCGGGAACTCAACTGAAAGTGCAGGTAGACACCAGCTCGACACAGCAGGTGCTTGTTTACAGCCTCGTTGTTTGACTCAGCCGTGACGAGACTCTTGGTAGGGGGATGCAGCTATCCGACAGCTCAAGTCCTACGTTAGCAGAAGAAGCGGAGGCTTGTCTCTCAATCAGCTGTCCAGCAATCTTGACGCAAGTGCCAAAGTCAACCCAAACCAGGCCTTCTCTCTCACGGTCGTGTCGGGAAGTATCCAACAGACCGACCCTTACCAGGCGCCAACCATGACGACTTCCACGACTCCGATGTCTGCAGGAAACACTCTGAGCGCGTCTAGTATGCTCGCACAGCTCATGGCGATGGTGTTGTCTGTTTGGATCATAAGACATGCTTGAGCGAGTCATGGCGGAGATAGTCTGCATTGAAAAATCTTGTTAACCTTGACTTGGTACTGCGTCTCGAGAAGCAGCAGAGTCCAACCCACTAGCTTGAAAGGAGAGAAGCCGATCGGATTAAGATGTCTTTCCATGTGTCTCTTTCGCTGAGGACTGACGTTCAGAGAGAAACAAACAAGTTCATAAAACCCTCTCAAGTCGAGTATCTAAACCACCTCAAATCGAGTATTTCATCACTTCTATCAACCACCGCATCATTCATTCATCGGTCGAAAACATAGCTTTATTCTTCTTTTCTGATCGGATGATGATCATCGTCAAAATCATCATCATCATCGTCATCATCATCCTACTACTACTACTGCTGCACTTAACTGCTTGTGCTCTACTCTACTCTACTCCTGCCCGTCTATCCTTCCCCTCCTCGCTCTCTCCCGCCTCTTCGCGCTTGCGCTCCTCCCCCGCCGGCCTCTCGATCGCGATGAGAGTGCGGCGGCTCGATCGCTTCCGGCGGGCCTCCTGCCTCGCGGCCCGGAGCTCAGACTCAAGGCCGGCCAGCTCTCGCCGCTCACGGCGCAGCTCCTCCGTCAGCTCTCCTAGCCGCGCTCGCTTGCTCGCGTACGAGGCCTCGAGCCCAACAAGCTCCTCGTCCTCCTCGTCGTCGTCGCGGACCTGAGTGATGTGGCGGTGGTGTGCGGCGGTAGAGCGTCGGGCTATCTCGACCCGGAGGCGGCCGTCAGAGTACTCGGAGCGGATCTTGCGGGGGTCGGCGTCGGAGGGGAGGGCGATGCGCTGGCGGAGGAGGACGGAGGAGGAGCTGCGGGGGGAGCCCTCAGTGTCGTCTCGGTCGGAGGCAGCCGGAGACCCGGCCGACACGACGAGCTCCAGCGTCCGGTCGCCTACGAGCGTCAGCGCCAGGTCCCTCGCCGCCACCCCGGGCGTGTCCATGGTCACCACGTGGGCGTCGGGCAGGGACTCGAGGCGAGGCATCGGGGCAGCTGGGTGAAGGCGGCGCGAGGTGAGGGCAGGGTCGTACCAGGAGGGTGACCGGAGGGCTGCATCCCAGGCTGAGTCCAGCTCGGACAGGAGGGAGGAGGAGGAGGAGGAGAAGCGGGAAGGAGAGGCGAGGACAAGATCCAAGGCAGGGCGTGCAGAAAGCAGGGAGAGCATATGAGGGCTTGGGCTTGGATAGGATGGAGGGGTCGAGTGAGTGGTCGCCGGTAGGACAGGTCAATGCAGGAGCCGGGAGGAGGAGGAGGGGCGGTAGATATAGAGGAGGGGAGAAGGCGCCTGGAAAGATCTAGAAAAGCGGGGGGGCGTTCTAGAATGGAGGGATTGGGTTTGTAGGAGAGTGTGTCTAAAAATAGAGCGGGTTTGGAGAGTTTTGAGGAGGGGGTACGACGCCTGGGGAAGGTAGGGGGTAGAGGCCTGGCAGGAAAGGGGTGGGGTGGAGGCTGCTGCTAAAAATAGCTCCATTTTTGTGCACACCCTGGTCTATAAAACCTCCTCGATGGTCTTCCCCCCGACAGTCTGTTCACCGTCTACTCTTGTGCTTAGCCGTTGATTTGTTTGATCTCCACCAAGCTAGAACGTCAACATGGTTCGTTGCTTCCATGCCCGTGCATCATCCCCTTGCGTTCCTCGAGCTTCGTTTCTTCTCTTCGTCGTCCTTGGGTACAGCCTTGTCTCCTTGTCCCAGTCGTACCTGCTGATTCCCAGTCCCCTCCTTCGATCGCCGGTTTCCATTCTTAGCAGCCCGCGGCATCTCATCTCAAGCATCAATCGCATGGAGCAGGACATGGACCGCATGTTTGACTCTCTCCTGTCCCTCTCCGGCAGCGACGACGAATTCTTCTCACATCCTCTCACTCTGCGGACCAAGCACGTGAACGCGTCGGAGGTGCATGCTGGAAGTGTGATGATGCCTCTCAGACCTCAGTTTGACATCCAGTCAACGAAGGAGCACATGCTCGTCTCTGTAGTCACTCCTGGTCTATCCAGAGAGAACGTCTCTGTAGAGGTTGTGGAAGCAGGTGGGACCGGCTCTCCCTCCCTCCTCATCTCAGGTCGCACGTCATCCAAGATGTCGGGAGAGGGAGGAAAAATCCAGACATCATCCTCTTCCTCCTTTGAGAAGCGCATTTCCCTCCCCCCGCATACAACCCCTGAGATGGTTGAAGCGAGGTTCGAAGAGGGGGTGCTGAAGGTGACCGTCAAGAAGCCAAAAGAGCAGCAGGAGTCTCTTCGACACAAGATCCCACTGCTCTGACCGACAGCTTGCAATACGTGCAGGCTGAGGCGAGTAGGATCACAGATGTTGTTGTAAAATAAAGGAGATTGAAAACAACTCTTCTTGCTGAAGAGGTTTCATGCACATTTTCATCTTCACTACCACAGGCACGCAGACTTGCAGGGATGAAGGCAGTCATACGATCCCATTGAGGCAGGCACAGGAGATGTCGACCGATTGTTCTTATCGCAACATGACCCTTTCATCGCTCTCTCGATCTAACTCGTGAGGTTGTAGTACACGTGACCTCAATCTCTCCCGTTAAATAGATGCTATCAGCGCCTAGCAAACTGAGATGCACTCGGTGGCCTTCATCTTGGTTGTCTACAATGTTCTGTTCTCCATTCGACCTGTATTGCTGCAAGATACCTTCATGCACAGAATTTTGTATGGGGAGTTTGGTATGAAGACTCGGCAAATCTCAGTCGCTGTTCTCCTCACCTGCAATGGGACAGATAGCTGATCTTCAACAAAACCTCTTTGCTCTCAGCGATGTTCGTGGTGACATACCTCTTCCTCATCGTTGACTTCATCAGAGTCAGATCTTACTGCCATCCGATCCATTGCCCTCTTGCTAACTTAGTATTGCTCGTACACTGAGGCTGCCTCGCTAAAGTTTCATATCAATTTCGGAGGACAGCAAAATTATATAGGAAAGTTGAACAAGTAGTCAAGTTGTCAATTTTAGTACGATGAAAGGGTTGAGCGACGAAAGGGAGGAGAGGAGGAGAAGACAAGGAGAGGAGAAGGAGAAGACAAGGAGAAGAGGAGAGGAGAAGGAGAGGAGAAGGAGAGGAGGAGTGGATAGACCATTTTTGTCCTCTAATTTTGTGTCGAACAGCATGTATGACGAAGAACGTAAGGTAAGGGACTGGATGGAGCTTGGCATGGATTCAAACTTCGCATGGAATGCACCCAAAGCTCGTCCGATCCCTACCCAAACACAAAGGGTCTCTGCCAAGGAAACCGTGCTTGTCCACAGCTCAACCAGAAGGAGCAGCAAGAGCACGACGATGTCGTGGTCGAAGTTGGATAGACGACCAGCACAGCCCAACCATTCGGCAAATGCGGAGGAGAATATCACACCCGCACCGATGCAGGGATGGAATCAAGACACGAGAAGGCTGGGTGAGCTTCTTGAGCGTGTAGATGGAGGAGCTAAACAAGTCAGCAGGTGCAAAGGAGTTTCTGAAGATGTCTGCGGATAGCAGGAGAGTTTTCGATCGACAGGATGAGAGGATGGTGCCGCAGGTCAGGAGCGCTGCACAGCGACTGATGACTCATCTTGATATGCCAGAGGCGAGCGGCTGCACAAGTACATAACCTTTCAAAGATGCTAGAAACCGTGGTTGCGCAACGTGACGAGATGGAGAACGAGTTGATCTCCAGCAGAAATCGGTACATGGTCGCATCCTCTGCCCTGCCTCCTCCTGATCTTAACTGTAGATGCGCAATGCTCGAGCATACCCTGCAGGAACAAACGCGCGAGCAGGGGAGATTGAGAGACACTCTGGTAAAGCCGCTCAACAATGTATCATTGCCCTGACGTGCAGAAGGATATTGCAGGAGCAAGGATTCATTCAGCTGAGCTGTTCTTACAAGCAGCAAGGCCGAGAACTTTTGACCTGCTGCACGATGAAGAGGAATTGGAACGAGAGAGGATAATTATTCAGGTTCTCCAGTGTCAACAAATGGCTGCATCGAAAGCTGACTATCTTCTCAAGGGGATTGAAAACTTAGAAGAGACTCTGTCTGATCAGAAACGGAGAAATCAGCTACTGCAGAGCGAAGTAGATTCTTGGATGGAGCGCTGCGCTGAAACGGACATGACTCTGAGCGCTGCGATGGATCAGTTATCAGCTGCTGAATCGCGCGTGATCGTAATTGTTTGCTTTCCTCGTTGGTTCTCAGCCTGAAATTGTATCAGGATCTTGAGCAGCAGCTTCACGTTGAGCAACAACAGATGACATCAAAGAACGAGGAAATTTCAATGTTGCGGCAGGCATTTCACAGGCTGGAAGACAAAATGAAAACGCAATACGAGGAGCAGGAACGCCAATCTACAATGATCGAAGATATGTGCACAATTGTTGATCAGGTGCTACAGACGTCATGAATGCTTTTTTGGCATATGATCAAGGTTGAGATGATTTGCAGATTGCAGGCCATGTCGACTCATCGACCAGTATCGTCACTTGCGTTGCTGATTGCTTCTCTGGGATCGATGAAGAGGCGAGAGAACTGCTGGCAGTGGTCAAGGCGGCCCCTGGCAAGCGCCACGTCAGCACGAGCAGGACCAGGATGTGCCCTGACTCTCTTCGGAGCCTCCGGGAGCTTCTCAGGAATCTGACAGCCCATCAAGAGCAATTGAACGCGATGGGAGTGGAGGAGCTCGACCGAGTCGACAACTCCTTCACTTCTCTGCAAGCGTCTCTGGATGCCCTGCTCGCACGTCAGGACGGGCAGTGTGCCGCTATCGACGAGCTGGAGAGAACTTCAGCCATGAAGGAAGCAGAGGCAGAGATCATGAGAGCATGCGTGCAGCGCCTTGCCTCAGGGATCTTGAGCGACTCGGTCCGGTGTCAGGAGGACGTGTCTGATATGATTCAAAGCATCCGTAGCAGGGAGGGCGAAAACCAGAGCTGGGAGGTAACGCCAATGTGAAGCTCTTGAGATGATTCGCTGACGAGCAGCAGATCACAAGGGTCCTCGTAGGCGACGATGGCGTGCAGGAGCAGGAGCAGGAGCAGGAGCAGGAGCAGGAGCAGGAGCAGGAGCACTCCGATCCTGCCGAGGATTGGACGCCCAAAAGATCCAGCGTCGAAGCACTGTAAGTCCTCCTGCTCCCAAGTTACAGGGTCTTACATGTGCCGCGGGCAGCAAGCAGGACGGGCTCGTGAGGACGCTTTTCCCAGTCGCTCAGTCTCTCTCATCGCCAGAGTCCTACGATATGAGTGAGGAGGACTGGAGAAATCTTCTACAGATGCGGGAGGCGCACTCGGGGAGTCGACGGTCGTCGTCGACATCGGCCCGAGTTTCTCCTTTCGAGGGGACCCTCGTCTGACGCTGCCGCCCGTTCGGAAACGAGCTTACTCACTTACAGTATACGAGCACGAGTAAACTGCATTAGCTAATAATTGTTTTTGCTTTCCGCGTTCGAGAAATTCTTGATCTTCCTTTGACCCACCCCACCCACCTACCCCCGTGAGGATTGTTGACGTCGCCCCAAACTCTATGAGGCAAACTGGGGTAGGGGGTAGTACCCCCTCCTGTCCAGGGACTACCCCTCCAGCTATCTCAATTTCAGCGCCAACATGCCGCTTAATGCAGCTGATATCCCATCGTCCTCCCTCCTCCTTCTCCTTCTCCTTCCTCCTTCCTTTCAGATCTCATCACCATCAACTATATATGCCCTCCTCTCTCCATCTCTGCTCATCTTCTCCCTCTCCTCACGACAACAACCATTTCAAGGCTGTGCCTGTCGACCACCTCTCTTTGCCTGTGTGCTGATATCATCTTTCTCCATCCCCTTTCGCTAGTTTTGATCTCTTGCTCCTCATGATCATTTTTCGACCGATGTGATGCTGTGGTCAAACACATGATTGAAGCTTTCAAATCTCTGATTGAAGTTTCAGATGTCCTCTTTCAGACCGGTGGGAAAGTCTGATCTGCCAGACAATCTCAAATACTCCAAGTGGGATCACATCGAAGTTAGTGATGACGAAGGCGATAGCCATCCGAACATTGATCAGAAGCTCATGGCGCGTCTCAAGAAGGAGAAGCGTGCTCGTGACTACGAGGAGTTCAGGTGATGCGCGCTTGATCGAATCTGAGCAAAGCGAACTGCTGATTTGTTGGGTTCAGGCAGAAGCACCCTGAAGCACCAGACCCTATTCGCGCTGAAGATCTCAAGACGAGCACACAGCGAACGGTGTGCAGACGAAAAGATTCGGAAGCCTGCAGCATGTCTCATTGTCCAACAGGTGGTGAACAGCACGTCAAAGGAGACAGAGAACCAAAAGGAAGCAAAGAAACATAAGGAGGTAGCTGCCTTCCGTCTTTGAGTTTGCTAGCTTACCTTTCGACCAGGCTGGCAACAAGCATTTCTCCAAGGGAGAGTACGCGGAGGCGGAGGACTGCTTCTCTAAAGCGATAGAGCTTGCGGGTCCTGATTGTAGGTCAGAGCTCGAGCTGGTTCGATGACTGAAGATGCAACTAGGCGTGAACGGAGGAATAGACGCCAAGAGGCAGCTCGCTGTGTACTACAATAATCGCGCAGCTGCACGATGGAACATGTACTTCTTGAAGCTATCTCTACAAAAGTTTCATTGACTCTATATTGGCAGCGCTATTGCAAACACTCCCGAAAAGAAGGATGAAAGCAACACAATCATTCTAATGGACAAGGCCGATCAGGCTATCGAAGATTGTACTGCAGCGTTGAAATATGATTTCAGGTGATGAATTTCATTCATGCCCTCAACAACACACTGAACGGATGTCATGCTCAGATATGTCAAGGCCAGACTTTGCAGGGCCAAAATCTATGAAGCCAAGATGGACCTGAAGCTGGCATATGACGACTATAAGCGAGCGATGTCGTACGAGCCGAGCAATACCTTGGCTAAGGAAGGAATCGACAGATTGCAGCCCGAGATAGACCGAATGGAGGAGGAGAAGCTCATCGAGATCACGATCCCAGACGTCATCCCAGAGAACCGCACCATCAAGTATAACATCCCTGGTCATGGCGAGATCGAACTGGAGCTTCCGGAAGATGCCGTCCCTGGTCAGACGATCAAGCTTCAGCTGGAAGAGGAGGGAGAACCTGAACCCGAACCAGAGGATGAGGGAGGGAGCGGCCTCAACCACCATGCCAACATGTATCAGAAGAGTCTTGACGCGTTCCTCAAAGACAGCACGTTCAACAACATCTTCATGGATCGGTGGATGAAGATGTCGGAAGAAAGCCGCATGGCAGTCATCGACAGGACCTTCGATGCCATGGCCCAGCAGACCATCACCAACACCACGGGCTACAAGATGAGCAGGAGCGACTTCTACCTGCTCTGCCCAGAGGTCGCGCCAGAGCGAAGAAGAGATTACGCGAAGAAGCCTGAGAGCTTCATCGAGGCCTGCAAGGTTAGCATCGCAGACACCGACGCCAACGCCAGGAAGTGGCTGGAAGACAACAAGTCAAGTCTTGCAAACACCCAGATTGCCTTTGGGATGCGACTTCAGTTCCAGATAGGAGTGAACACCGACGGGGGAATCGATGTCATGGCGCCGATCCGCCGGCTGTTGGTTGCCGAAACGCTTGTCTGTGTCTTTGAGGCGCTGACAGGAAAGAAGGTGAAGGCTGTTTGACTTGTCTGATTATTGTGGTGACGGAAGTTTCAGGCTGCTGAGTTTGAGCATATGAGGATGTAATTCGAAGAGAGCTACAAGAGAGGGCGTGAGTTCGCTCATCGTCGCCGTCTCTTGATATTCTCGTTTTCACTTTTGAATGAACAAACTTCACTCGTTATCTCCTCCACCCAAATGACATCGGGCAGGTTTGGGTTCCCTCGAGCTAGGAAACCTATTTGGCATAAGAGGGGGTCCCCGGGGGTGGGGCCGGAAGCTTAGTAAGGCAATCGATAAAAATCCAGGCTTGAGCCCCCACCTCAAGACGAGTACCACTTGCATGGTGCCAAGATGGCAATGAAACAGTGCAACAAATGCCAGGCATGGAGGGCGAGGAGAGGAGGAGGCGGATGGGGGAGAGGGAGGAGGAAGAGGGGAGAGGGAGGAGAGGAGGAGGCGGATGGGGGAGAGGGAGGAGGAAGAGGGGAGAGGGAGGAGGAAGAGGGGAGAGGGAGGAGGAGAGGAGGGGAGGAGGGCAGAGGCAGGAAGAGGAGGGGAGGACGTCACCTCTTGAAACTCAGGCTTGTAATGCACAGATCCCTGTAGAGCGAGGAAGTAAAAGCCCACAAGTTTGCGTAAGACCATCTTGCAGCTCCTCCTGCTCCTGCTCCTGCTCCTGCTCCTGCTCCTGCTCCTGCTCCTGCTCCTGCTCCTGCTCCCGCTCCCGCTCCCGCTCCCGCTCCCGCCCCTGCTTCTGTTCCTACTCCTTCTCACAGGACATGCAGACGGTGCCGCTTTCACTAGCTTCTTCATCCCATCGTGCTGACATGTTCGCATCGCCTACCTCTCGACCTCGATCCTCGACATTGTACGGAATGAAAACAGCGAGTAAGTCATCATGAAAGCTCCTCCGACATTTTTCGCTCACAATTGATCAGGGAGTAAGTGGTAGTATTCTTCCTCCACTCGTCTGACTTGTTTCTCTTCATCCGCCGGGACCTCTCCTGCGAACCTCCAGCTGGTGAGAGTGACATGTTATGCAATGACACGTTGAGTCTTGACGTTACCCGCTGGTTCTGCCTTGTCCAACTATGATCAAAGGAAGTAAGTCGAACAATCCTTGTTCTGTCTCTGTCTCTGTCTCTCTGTCTCTCTGTCTCTCTGTCTCTTACTTCTTTCTCTTTACAGATTGTAAGGAAGAATCTCCTTGAGATCTTCACAAACACTGACTTGTTCTCTTACTTGCGATGAACTTCTTCGCTGCATTTCTCTGCTCTCGACGTAGTATGTAAGCAATCACCAAGACCCTCTATAGCTGAATGTGCTGATGCATCTTTTGTGCGCAGCCGGTATGTTCAGCCATGAAGTTTGTCAGGATCTAACGTTTTCATCGGATCGCTGCTGCCTTCGTCTATGGGCTTTTCTTCCTCAATGGAAGATTGTGAGTCTTGCGATGACCTGTGCTCGATCTCATTCTGACACGACTTTCCCCACGATCTCTCATACGATGACACACTGGGATACTCAGCATGTAAGCACATCCTTGCCCTGCGTCTCCCCGCTGATCATTTCTTTATCATGGTTGTTGACGACGATTTCTTTCCATCCAGCTGGTAAGCATTTATCGAATCTCAACAGTTTACGCAAGGGAATTTGACTTGAGTTTGTTGCCTCCTCGTCCATGAACGGCTTTTCCTCAAGTGTTGTGTAAGCTCATCATTGTGACGTTGTGCCCTAACATTGACATTCGATGGCAGAACGTAAGAACCATTCATCTCCAGTTGAGACCGTCCTAACAGACCTGCGACCTTTGCCAGTGCTGCCATTCAAACACGCCATGCCTGCATTGTCGTGGAGAGGAGGAAGAGGTGGTGGAGGAGAGCAGCTTCAGACACACGGATTTTCTCTCTTTTCCCATCCTTGCCGAAGATGGCAGGTCAAGTCCAGCTGGACCGGAGGAAAGTGTAGAGCAAGAGCGTCAGGGCGAGCAGACACGTCAGGATGTAAGCGAGGGCGAAAGAGCGGCGGTGGAGGCGGCTTACGACAACAAACTTTGTGTCTGCACCATCAATCGACTTGTCGAGCTGGCTGAAAGACAATCCTCCTCTACGGGGGGGGGAAGCCTCCTCCATCGGAGCTCCGCACATGAAGTGGATCTGAGAGCGCTTGCTGCCAACTTCAAGGACGAGAAGGTAGTGAGGGGGATCAACATCTACCTTCTCTTCGATCAGTTAAAGCACCTCATGGAGAGTCCCGGTCATGATTCCTTCTTGAATGTCTGCCGGCTGAAATCTGAGTTTGACAAGCTCCGGCATGACCTCAACGACCTCCAGCTGAGTCTCTCCGGACTGACTGCCACGTCCTCGTCGGAGGCGCCAGGGGAGTCAGAGGGAGATGAGGAACGAGGCGGGGCAGTGCTGGACGAGGATGTGAAAGAGGTGTCGAGAGTTCGCGATCAGACTCGAGAGCGCATGCTGGCGGCGTTTGACAGGCTGCCGCGATCCCAGAGCGAGTGCAAAACCTCTTTGGAGGACTTCAGGGCCCTGGTAGAGGAGCTTGCGGAAGCTGCAGACTTCCACTCTGCTCGTCTGGCTGAGAGTCCAGGAGACACGCAGGAGGAGTCAAGCGAGGAGAGGGAGAGAGAGGAGATGAACGAGGAGGCTCTGACGCAGAGGACAATCTTTCTCATGCACCTCGAGGATTTAAACGAGACCATGCGGGGATGGGGCGCGGAGGTGAGTAGGCTGATTCATGAAACCTCCGACAAGAGAAATCAGATTGCAAGGGCGATGGCATCTGATCTGAGCGAGGTTGTCAGAATGCTTAATGGTGACGCTATGGCAGCGGGACGAAGCAGTGAAGAGCTGTCAAGCTCCTTGTCACAGTCCTGCAAGAGTTTGGAGGAAGTCTTCCAGGAGCAAGAGGCTCTCCTCAGCAGCGAGACGATCGTGGACTCGTTTCCCCACCACCTGCTGCATCCAATCTTGCGGTGTGCGAGGGAATGGTTGATACGCTCGCTCGTGCTCGTCGACCAGGTGATCGATCTCTCTCCGCTGGCTCAGGAGGTCTCGAGCATGGAAGGGCTGGAGGACCCAGGTGTTGTGTTCAAGAGGCGGAGGAGGCTGAAGGAGGAGGTGGAGGTCCTGGAAGACGATCTTGACGACCAGAGGCATCTGATCGAGAAGGCGGCGAAACGGAGGTTCCCAGCTGAGGAGGCGAAACAGAAGTTCGCCGAGATCAAGGACGAGCTGGCATGCAAGCTGAGGGCCCTCCGGGACGTCGACGCGCACCTGTGCCGGCTCGTCGCTCATTTCCCGGAGTACAAGAACCACCTGCTGGAGCAGCTGGTGACCTCTCAGCTGGACAGGTCCCTGGGGATCGAAGTCCCGCACGTCGACATGATCGAGAGCTGCTCCAGGATCTCCATGTTCGACATCGTCCGTCACTTGTCAAAGGCTGGTCAGCAGGGCTCCCGCCACTCCGTGTACCTTGTCAAGCAGGGAGGGGCTACCTACGTGCTCAAGGAGTACATCATGTCAGACCGCAGGAGCGAAGTCGCGCACTTCCTGAAAGAAGCTGCCATGCTGCACAAGCTCGAGCATCCCTTCCTCGTCCGGCTCCTGAGCATCTTCATCGAGGACGATCACTCGCACGGGCGGCTGCCGGAGCTGCGGGGGTACATCAAGATGCCCTTCTACGAGGGAGGAACGCTCCTTGAGTGGTGCCAGGGGGTCCGGCCAAGCGAGCAGCAGAAGCATCGGGTGCTGCTGCAGGTCCTGCAAGGCCTCGAGCACCTGCGACAGAACAGCATCGTACACTGCGACATCAAACCGACGAACATCCTGCTGTCTTCCTCCTCCCCCGACGCCCTGCCCTGCATCGCCGACTTCGACGTGTCGAGAAACCAAGAGGAGCGGATCAACGGGATCGTCTGCACAGTCAGCGTCGCCTCGACCATCGACAAGCCGATAGGAGGCACCCTCGCGTACGCGGCGCCGGAGATCGTCGGCTGCTCCTCGTTGGAGGACGCGCGGCGACGAGTGTCGCACAAGTGCGACATGTACTCATACGGGGTTGTGATGCTGCAGTTGCTCACTGACGTCCAGCCGCGACTGGGACAGGAGGAGATGTTGCTGGATGCGATCAGGAGGTTGGAGGACAGTGACGCTTCCCAGCTGATCTCGAGCTTGCTTCATCAGGACAGTGCAGCTCGCCCCTCCTCCGCGCAAGCCCTCGCGCATCCTTACTTCACCAGCTCGATGATCGTCGAGCGAGAGCAGATCGAGGAAGAGCGAAGGCAGATGCAGCGCTTGCACGAGAGGGAGCTGGCGGAGCTGCAAGGAAGGCAGCAGGAGCTGGCAGATCAGCAGGCGAAGTGTGCAGCAGAGAAGAGGAGGAATGAAGCCGAAACTCAGAAGATGCTGGAGAGGAAGCAGGAGCTCGAGCACAAGGGAAGAGAGCTGGACTGTGAGGAGCAGACCATGAAGCGACGCCTTGAGGAGGAGGAGAACAGGTTGAGAGACCAGAAGGAAGCGATCCGCCTGCACGAGCTGGAGCTTCAGAGGAGCGAGCTGAGCCTGCAGCGGAAGCTCAGCACCTGGGAGCAGGAGAAGCAGCAGTTCGAGGAGGAGAAGAAGGACATCAGGAAGGATGCAGTCATCTTCAACCCTCCCCTCTACTGGAAGGTGGCGACCACTGGGACAGTCAGGAGGGGCAGAGTGGACGTGACGAGGGAGTGGAAGGGGAGGATAGAGGAGCTCATGCGCTCCACAGGCTCCGGGGGCTGCCACGTTGTCCGCATCCTCCAGATTGAGAATCGAGACCACTGGGAGTCGTTTGCCCTGCAGAGGAAGCGGATCATTCAGAGCATGATCGAGAGCGGCGTCGCTCGCAAGAGGACGGCAGTACTGACCGACAGGCCCTGGATGGACTCCGAGCTGAAGCGAGACACGGAGAGCAACGAGGTCTTCCTCTTCCATGGCACCAAGGCCCACAGCGTCGACTGCATCATCGATGGAGGGTTGGACGAGCGGGTGGGGAACCTGGGCGGGTCGTTCGGGGCCGGGATCTACTTCGCCGAGAACTCGAGCAAGAGCGCTGGCTTCTGCTCCCCCAACGCCCAGGGCCTCAAGTCCATGTTCCTCGTCCGCGTCGTCCTCGGCGATCCGATCGAGAACGCTCAAGTGCGGAACCATCGACGACCTCCGCCGAACGCTTCCACTGGTCGCCTCTACGACTCAGTCATCGGCAACCCGCAGGCCCGGGAGTTCATCGTGTACGATCGCAACCAGACGTATCTGGAGCTGCTGATCGAGTTCCGTTGAGACTTCAAACGTGAACCCCTTCTAAGTTCACCTGAACTTGAAGCGTCCGAGTCCTTCCGATGCTACTCTGGCACCGCTCAAGTCCCCGGTCACACTGCTCCAGGGGAGGACAGACGAGACGAGACGAGACGAGACGAGACGAGACGAGACGAGACGAGACGAGACGAGACGAGACGAGACGAGACGAGACGAGACGAGACGAGACGAGACGAGACGAGACGAGACGAGACGAGACGAGACGAGACGAGACGAGACGAGACGAGACGAGTGGAGTGGAGACGAGAGGAAATCAGCTGACGCGATGAGCTGGGAGAAATTGAGCGAGCCACTGACATCTCTAAGCTTCAAATATCCCACATCAAGTAACTTGACCGTCTCTCCTCTAGCCCTGCTAGCATCTCGAAGGCACTCGACCTTAGCCGGTTGGCTCCTACTCTTTGCCGTGAGGTACAGGCAAGCACAACAGTGAGCCATGAGATGGGTTTCAGCAACTTCATACAAGCAAGCAAGACCGCTACTTCACTCATCTCCTTGCTCCACTGCCACTTCATGTAGCCCTGCTGCTGCTTCCTCCACTTCCGTGTTCTCAAACTCATTCTCGAAGTCGTAGTTGATGATCAGGTTCCAGGCTGCAGGATGAGTGTTGTGCTGCCAGCGCTCGCATCTCTCTCTCAGATTGACCCAGTCATTTGGATACCTTTGCTGACTTCTCCTCTCCCTGTACTCTTCTAGCAGCAGCCGAAGTACTGGGAAGCCTTGCTGCACGTTGCGATCATAGATCTGCGCATAGTTGATGCTGGTCGACTCTTGGTGTGCTCGTTGTACGAAGATGTCGGCTCCCAACTTGATCAGCATACCAACCATGTTGACGTCATTCCTGTACACGGCATAGACCAGCGGCGTCATGCTGTCGATGTTCGCCACCGCTGCGTTCCTCCTCCCATCGAAGCGCATGTTTAGAGTGAAGTCCCCTTCTCCTGTCGTCAGGAACCTCCGCACTTGTTCCACGTCGCCGGTCTGCAGGGCAGAGGCCGGCGTGTGAGCTGAGCCCAAGCTGAGAAGCAGCTGGACTGTGTCTGTGAGCAGCAACTTTGCGGCGATCTCGATGAGGCGGCAGCCGACGAACCTGAGGTCGTCCGAGTCGACCCTGGAGTCGACTGAGAGGGGATGCGGGCCTCGCTGGTTTCTTCTCGAGACGTTTCTGGGACACGTGGCAACGAGCAAGTGAGCGCTCTCTTGGCAGACCCTCTCCGCCAGCTGCTCTCGAGCTGTCGCGCTGCCGGACAAGACCGTCAGCATGAACGCGTCCAGCTCTATCTCTGCAGCTTGGTAGTATGGGAGGAGGACGTCTACTACGTCAAACCTGCGGTACAGAGCGGCGGCGATGATGGGGAGGACAAGGAAGCCGTTTCCATCATTGAGACGCGGCGAGTTGAGGATCTTGTCCACTCGCAAGCGCTGGTGGAGGAGGCTCGGATCCTCTCGGAGCAGCTGCTCTATCCGATCGATCTCGCCGCACTGCATCGCCTCGTCCCAGCCCGGCTGCAACGGCACAAACGCCTCTATCATGCCCTCGAAGCCATCGGGGGCAGCCAAGTCGTCTGCCCTCCTTTCGGGCGCAGGATCTTTGACGAGCTCGGTGTCGGTGGTACCTTGAAGGTGCCTGACGTCTCCTCGCCAAATCTCCCTCTTGGGGCGATAGATCGTTCGGCCATGCTCCTGCGCAACTTTGCCCATCATCAGGCGGAGCACAAGCGCTGAAGGCTGACCCGTGGAGTCAAGTCTCAACAGGCCTCGTCCGACTCCAATGCGTCTGAACACCGAATGCTCCTCGTCGTCATGGTCGTTGGAGTGGAGGCAGACGACATGAAAGGAGGTGTTGTTGCCCAGCTGTAACTTGTTGAGAGGTAGGATGGTGTACTTGTACACCGCGTCGTTGTATCTCGCGTCTCTGTACGTCCAGCGACCGGCGACCTCTGGCAGGCAAGAGGCCGTTTCTTGCATCAGCTGCACCAGGCGACCGAACCCAGCATACGGGTGGAGGAAATCGACCTCCGGGCCAAACTTCACCCACGAATGCTCAGCCTGCTCAGAGTGAAGTCTTCTCTGTACAGCCAGGTCGTTGTGCTGTCTGCCTCCTATCGAGAGGCTAATCGCAGGGTATCCTGCTCGTTGATCATGGTCGTTGGTTGTCGCCTGAGACATTTGATCGGCAAGCCTACTGAGCAGATCATTGTCTTGTCGCTTGACCGGGCCCACGTCATCAACCACGGCTCGTCTCTCTTCTCGATCGAGGATCCTCTCCAGCCTCAGCTTCTCTCTCCGAGCTCTGGGAGGCGCCTGCCGCTCAAGCCCGATGACAATGACGTCGTAGTAGCTCTCCTCATGCGACGCAAAAAGTCTGTGCAGGCCGAACCCTATCTCTGCTCTTGTGCCTGAGATGTCCAAGACGCCAGCAAACATGATCTTGTCCTTGTCCTGCACAAACGCGTAGGCCGTGTCGGCTGTCAGCCCGTCGGCTCCACCGGCAGCTCGTATGAGGGGCCAGAGGCTTTTCAGCTCGTTGCGCCACGCAGTGATGAACCGCGTGCCGCTCGTGACGACCGTGATGTGATCTGAGACGTACAGGACCGCAGGTGGGAAGTCTCGCCGCCACCCTCGACGGACAGTCTCGCGGATGAGGTCGAAGTTGATGTCTCGTTCCTGCATGCGTCGGATGGCATGATGGGTGAGCTGCTGCTGCAGCATGTCCGTTGACATGTTAGAGATGGCTATTTGCCTTGGTTCTGTCCTTCCGTCTTCCATGCTCTTGAAGCGCCTGCTCTCGTCTTTGTGAGTGCCAAGGGAAACAAACAAATCACTTTGTTTTCTAAGGAAGACTACAACTACATCTCATTCTTTGCTCAATCGTATCTCAATTCCGCAGTCCCTTATGTTTTGTTGATGCCTATCTCCCCAAGGTTTTCTGCTTCCTAGCGCTTTTCCTTAAATAGCCTGCCCTCTTTACCCCCTCAACAAAAAATTGCTGACATCAACCCAGAATCCCTCCTCACTTCCGCAATAGGTGCCACCCTTGCCAGCTTGTTTGCCAACCTGCTCATCCTTCCCTCCCGTCTCACTGCCCTACTTTAACTTGCTTTCTACCTCCTCCTCTCTCCCTTCCTCCCTCCGAGCCCCCTCCCCCTCCTCCCCTCCCCGGATTCATGCTGGCGCGGCCGCGCTGTTCCACACTTCCCAGCTACCGAGGCACCTGCTACAGTACGCCGTAACTACAGGTACATTGTAGCGAGAGCGTTACATAACTACAGGTACATGGTAGCGAGGGCATTACATATGTAATGCCATCGGTAGAGGGTAAGTTAGCGCTCTTGTACCCTCACACGTTTCTTTTGTTATTAAACTGTGTGTACTCTAATACAACAGTACTGCAAACAGTACCGTACGTACTACGGTAAGTGAGACCGCCCGGCCTCCGATTCCGAACATACTACTACAATCTACTACTACAGTCTTATCTTTATCATGATGTCACGGCAGTAGATTCAGTGGCCCGTGACTCGCCTCGGCCTCCGAGTGAGGCGGCGAGCCGCTCAGTCATCCACTGAGCCGACTGAGCGGCGAGTCGGCGTGAACCTGTTTCAGCGACGACTGTCAAGCTCAGATGAACGCAGACGAGTGAACGCCGGGCCCAGTGGAAATCAAGTTCAGGGGCCTCAGTTAAAACCCGGGCCGGCCTGCCAACTTTGTCCGTCTGATTCTAAGTTTGAATGTTTCGAAGTTTCAACGTGCAAAGTTTCGAACTTTGGTTTCTTTTGATTACAGAAGATCCCTACCCCTTCTTGAAGTACCCTGTTTCTTCAATATAAAAGTAGGGGTATTTGAATGATCTTGTTGTACCCCTACCCCCTCTTTTGTCCGCCTGTTGGAGAGAGGGGGTGAGTAACGGATTGCAACCGCCGTGACGCTTCAGTGCAGAAGCTCCTCCTTCCCGCCCCTGATCCCTTAACCCCCCCCCCCCCCCTCTTCTCCTCCTCCTCCTTTCGTGCGCTCCTCCTCCTCCTCCTCCTCCTCCTCCTCCTCCTCCTCTCTCCTCGCTGTTCCTTAGTCTCCTTGTCCTCTCGTTTCTCCTCATCCCCCGACCTTGTGGGCTCTTTTCTCCTGCTCGATCATTACCTCCCATCCCTGACTGCAATGACCAGCGTTGTGTTTCGGATTGCCTGATACGCTTGAGGTCGTCGGGGGAATGGCACGGAGTGTTCATCTAATCATTGTAACCAGATACAACCAGCAGGCCTGACCTCCCTTGTTAAGATCTAGCTCTTCTCTCACTTCTAACCCCGACACTTCCATCGGGCAGACTAGGACTTGTACATTCTTTCGTCGAGCGGCAGCTTGGCAGAAATAATGCGATCAGATCGCACTTCTACTTACCAAAATTTCTCTTACTTTGGTTTTCTTTCATCTTTTGGGGGGGATAAGGATGGTACCACTGGTGCCAACCGACCGCAGCTCTGCCGGAGCTTGGACTTGAGTCGGCTAAGCGCGATAGTACCATGGACGTTACCATCAGTTGCCTCGGAGCTTCTTGCACTGAGAGGGAAGGGAGGTTTCAGATTACGTCGCAGTGTGCTGGCTCTGGTTGTTGTCTGCTCTCTGATCAGCCCTGCCGCCGCCGCCGTTTACGATGCAAACAAGGCGGATGTGATCGGGTACGATCCGAAGCTTTGTCCGGACGGCAAGAATTACTGCTCAATGTAAGGACTGTTTCGTGCTGACGTTTGAAGTCTCATGATTGTTTCCTGCAGGTGTCAGAACATCTCGGAGCTCTGGAACAGCAACAGCGCTGATCCCTCCTGGATTACCTTCAGCCAGATCTTTAACGCAACGGGGGCGCCTACTGATATCTACCCGAACAATGGCGCGCCGATTGTGAGCGTGCGGGGACAAGTGTTTCCGGGGAATCAATACCACTACTTCGAATTCCTCGTGCAGAATGGCGATGCCTATGCAGGAACGGATGCAAGGAGGGATAATATTTTCCTCACTTTAGTATCGCCGCAGTCCATTCCTGTTGCCAAGGGTCAGGTGTCAACTGTGTCGAGCGTAGACAGTGCAAAGCTTCCTGCCTACGATTTTTATGTGGGGCAGGTCAGCGTGTCTGTTGGAGTGAGCTTGGAAACTGATAAGGGCTGTGCAGGGTTGCATTCCACAAGAGGGGTCATGGAACAATCAAGGTTATGGTAACATCAATGCAAATGAGAAAGTGAAGAGCATCAACGTGAATGGTGAGATATTTGCATGCAAGGTGTGGAGGTAGGGGAGTCCTTACGGGCTGTTCAGTTACACAAGACGGGAGATACTTCATCGCACTTCAATCGCGCAAGGAGAGGTACTCGGACTGCTGCTGAAAATCAACTTGGTTGACTGGTGCTGCAGATACTCCGTTGCCGCTTTTGATTTCACGATGAAACTGTCAAGAGGGTCGATGGTAGCGAGAAACAAGAACACTCGTTGTACCCAACTGGTGTACAGGTGTACTCGTCTGTGCTGTATCACCGCCAGTGTTGACCTTGACTCTCAGATACCCCGACGAGATTCGTAGGATGACTGACGAATTCCGCCAATCAGGGACAGTGGGGACAACGTCAGGTGAGCTGAGGCTGATCGACCTTCCTGTTCTCCTCACGCCCCTCCTCTCATAGGAAGTGCGATCCCTTACTGTGGAGCGACTCCGGCCGACAAGAAGTTCAACATCATCTACAAGCAGCCACCCAAGTCGAATGCTCTCACCAACAGGCAGATCTCTATCATCGTGGGTGGAGCAGGAGGTGGGATTGTGCTGGGAGCTCTGGCGTCAGGGTTGTGCCTCTTTGTGAGATACAAGAGAACGACGAAGCGCATGGCCAAGTTCTCATCCTTGTCAAGGGGTCTGCCGGAAGCGTTGCTGGATGGGGAAGGACAGGAGGTTGCTGTTTAATCTCAGAGCTCAAGAGTGTATCGTTGTGCTATGCTACGGGAAGCGAGATATGTAAACAATACAAGTAGACCACTCGTTGCCCTCGTCCTCGTCCTCCTTCTCCTCCTGCTCTCCGTTTCTCATCCTTCTGCCTGTGCGTCTGCTGCGCTCTTTTCGCTGCTCCGATGTTTGGGGACCCACCTGGAGAGCCTCAGTCGTACCCCTCCATTCCTCCCATCACTCGCGCTTACTTGAGGTCTGGGGGAGCCGGTCCGAGGAACATCTCGGAGAGCTGACGGAACAAGTTAGTGGACTCCTCCTCCTTCTCCTGCCCCTGCTCCTTCTCCTTCTCTCTCTTTCACTCCACACTGCTTCACCTTGATCCAGTCGTCAGCTTGCGTGCTTGCGAGTTTCGTTTCTAGCTCGTCGCGCCCTGTGAATCCCTGGAGCACGACAGGGTGAGGGCGAGCAGACGCGTTGAGTGGAGCAGGAGGAGGCACAAGGGATGGCATACAGGGTTGCGATGGTTGATCACTGGCGGCAGGATCTCCAGGAGACCCACAGGGATGTAGCGGCAGTGCCAGGCCTGTCAGCTACTCATCCCCTCCTACTATCTCCAGCTCTTCGCCACCTGCCACTCCAGGAAGAAGGACCTCGTCTTCTCCACTCCCACACTGCCTGAGTATGAGGAGCAGGGCAAGGTCAGAGAGCAGCACCTGTCGCTTCCCCAGTGGTCGAGGCCGAAGCGAACGAAGTCCTGGGAGGAGGTGAGGCGAGGAAGAAGTAGGAGGAGGGCGGAGTGGGAGCGGGTCACTTGCCTTCATCATCTCGAGCCGCTCGCTGCTTCTGATGTCCCAATACTTGCGCTCCTTGACCTGAAGGGGATGGGAATGAGCGCGATGGCCGCCATCCTCCCTCTTACCTCCTTGAAGATCCAAGGCTTGATGAGCGCTCCTCGTCCTATCATGCAGGTCTGAACCTTCCCGCCCTGCAGATGCTGCTCGTAGTCCTCCCAGGAAAGCACGTCTCCGTTGCCGATCACTGGTCGCTCCCGTCAGCAAGGCAGCGGCTGGAAGGCGAGACTGACCGGGGATGCCGCAGGATTGACCGATGGTAGCGCACTGGTAGGCTGAATGTGAGGAGGTAGAAAGAAAGAGGGAGAGATGAAATGAGGAAAAGAGGGCAAGAAACGATGAGGGGAGAAGTGGCTGAAGGAAGAAAATGCGGATCTTGACACTTGCTCCAATGTACAAGTCGGAGCAGCTATAGATTCGAGGGAGGAGACGAAGAAAAGGAAGAGAAGGGGAGCAAGAGGAGGATGGGGAGGAGAGCTGGTAGAACAAAGGTCAAACCTCTTCTATGTATTCCCAATTTGCAAGACGGGAATATCGCTGCTGGCGGCTCCTTCCATGAATGGTGACTGCAGATGCGCCCCAGTCGGCGAGCTGAAGGAGGATGAGGAGGGGAAGGGAGAGCATCGTAATCGTCTCACTCGTGGGACGAGGAGATGCGCGTTCCTCCTACTCAGACTCTCAGTCTCACTCCTCCTGCCTCTGCCCCTTCCCAAGCTCCTCCTCCTCGAACCTCCTAACTTTCCTGCTCCTCTATCCGCCCCCTCTCCCTGCTCCTCTCTCCCCTTGACAACGACCTGCTGGGGTCTTCGTGCTGCCCGACACGAATCTTCACCGTCATGGGGAGAGAAGTCGTCTGCGCAGAGAGGAGTATCACAAGCATCAGGTTGCTGCAGCTGGCGGACTGACGCACCCTGGAAGCGATGGTGACGATCTCTTGCAGCCGCTGCGGCTTCTCCAACAGCTCAGCACCCATCCCCTTCCTGTCGCAGTTCTCAGCTCGTTCATCAGAATCCTTGGGCGGCACCCGCAGATCCCGTCGAGAGGACAGCCGCAGTTCAGGTCGAAGAAGTCGGCTGAGCACCTGCCAGATATTCATTCCGTGCTCCTCCCCCCCCCTCCTCCTTACTCTCTCTCAAAGAGCTCTGCACACTTGGCAACCACGTCCGGCCATCCTCCCGCGATCTTAAAGAGAGGAGCAAGGTGAGGGAGGGAAGATTATTTTGAGAGGGTGCAGTGAGCTGATAACTCAAGAGAGTTTTTCTCACCTGGATGCCAAAGACGTCTTCGCTGACGTGCCTGAGGATTGGTGGCAAGTCAGCTTTCCTGGCAAGACAACAGGAGCTCTGACCTTCTGAACAAGGCCCACTCCCCCCCGTTGCCCTCAACAATCTGAACATCTCATCATATCACGATCTCCCTACTCATAACTACCTTGGATGCTAACGCCATCTCCCCGACCGTGATGTCGCATCCCTTTGACAGGCAGGAAATTCCAATCAGCGAAAGGGATGGAGGGAAGTCGCGGAGAGGAGGAGATGCCTGGAGCTTGCAGAGGCGACGGAAGGGAAGGTTGCCGACGGTGGTGAGAGGAGCGAGGATCGTCTGAAGGGGCGCGGGAGGCTGAGGCCCTGAACAAGTATACATAGAAGGGACCTTTCGATCGAACACAATCTTCTTCTTCTCCTCAGCCCTGAGTCGACTGCCGAGACTGTAACCTTGTGTTTCTAGTTAGAGACAGGTCAGACTACCGAAAGGTTCAACCGTCTGGCTCTCTATCTTCATCCTTCTTGTCCTTCTTCCCTTTCATCGCATTCTTGTAAGCATCATGCTGCAGAAGTGGGTCAGCACAAACTTCTATCGCTGAACTCTCTACCTCTTGTTTCCATCTCTTCCAATCATATTTTCCTCTGTCAGTCACTTCCCGCAACTTAGCCTTTGTAGCATTCATGTCAGAAAGATGAGAACACAGAAGTCATCATCCGAGAACAACTTGTAGATCATTTGAAAAACAATGCATCGAAGTCATCATACGAGAACAATTCAGTGTTCTGTTTCATCCTCTACCACATGATACATCTCATTGTCACCAGTACCTGAAGGTCTCTTGGCAACATATTCTTCTCGTAATCTTCCATGTTCAAGATGTCTACTTCAGCCCCTTCAGGCTTGCTCCTGATGTATTCAACCCATCGCTCTCTGATTTCTTCCTCAGAAAAAGACGGCACACCGTTCTAACTACCTGCATCCCTTGAATCGACAGCAGAGTCCACAATTACACAACTTCCCCTGCCGCTGGATCAGCCGCAGCGAGTCATGCACATCGGACGAACTTCCGGTATGCCAGCATGCAACTCTTGAGGCAGCTCATGGAGCTTGTTGCATTCCTCAAGAAATTTCTGTGATTGCTGCATGAGAAAGAAGATGAAATGACCAGTAAACACAGAGTTACTTCAACGTCGTGCGAGAACTTGCAAGAGGTGCCGAATGGACACTGACGAGAGGTCGTCGTAAGCGTGTGGAGAGGGTCAGAGTCTCGTACCTCGGCTCCTAAAGAGATCTTCTTGCAAAGATGAGGGAGAATGCTCATCACCTGGGCGTTGAGTCACATTGAGATCACTTCAAGTAGGACCAAGCCTCTCTACCTTCTGGTTGAGCCCTGACTTCTGATCGCCCCTGTTCTTGTTCTGTCCCTTTCCTTGCTTCTGTCTCTTGCTCTGACGTTCAGCTTCCTTCCTTGCCTTCCTGTAGAATGTCTCACTCCTCCTCCTCTCTCTCGCACCATTCATCTTGACCTCGCCGCAACAACCTCTTCCCTGCTAACTGGAGCTCCCAGTCAGACATATCCATGGAGGCTCACCAGCGACAGACCTTCAGGGGTCGTGGAGTTTCCTTCACTAGCATCAACGTTCTTCTCTGATTCTGAGAGGAAGCAACCAGCAAGAGGTCAACCTCCTTCGTCTTAACGGCAGAGGCATCAGACCTTGCGGCTTCCTGGGGATCTTGTGCTCTCGTCTAAAGTGCACCTTCACGTCAGTCGCACGTCGAGCAAAAGACATACTAGACCTGATAGGAGCTAGAAACCTTTCCACGTCCTTTCGCGCCTCCTGCCATCAGGTCAGGGCCGTCAAGCAGGAGCCAAGTTGCTCTACTTCTTGACGATCTAGCAGTTGGCCCTGCTGCTCCTCCTCTGCCTTGATCAGCTTCCTGTCATCACCAGCAGCCCCATCCTCTGACGCTCCATCGTTCTTGCCCCCTCCCATCTCTGCCTTCTGTCCCGCCTCCTCTCCCTCTGTTCGCTTCCTCTTAGCGCTTTCTGCCGATCCGTCCATTGCCGACATGTTTCCTGGTGCCACATCCCCGCTCAGTCCGGGCCCGGAGGATGCCGAACGTCGTGAGGGCCGGGTGTCACTGAACGATCCGGCGGTCACGCTTTGAGTAATTTTAGCGCCTCGCATGATCGTAGTCAAATTTGAAGGTCTTTAGTCAAGATTCAGGGACACGGCCCCCGGTGTAGAAATTATGAAAATATTCATTTTCGACTTTTAAAAAACATTTATTTTCTGGATCGATGCATGATTCCTGGGAAACTAAATTATTTTTGATTTACAAGTATTGTAGAAGGGGAGGGATGGGGGAGGCGAAGGGATCGGGGTGCATCTGAAACCACAACAAAGCGCGAGGAGGAGGGAAGCGAAGGAGACCGAGAGAGACAGGAGAGGGACAGGAGAGGGACAGCAGAGGGACAGCACAGGGACAGCACAGAGATGGGTCAGGGACAGCAGAGGATAGGTGCTGAACGTGTTGAGGTAGGAGACGGAGGAGACGGGGTGTGGAGGGTTGAGAAGAAAACGGGGAAGAAGAAGGTTTAGGCGATTTAGAAGGGTTGTTAACGTGCGATGAGAAGAGAAAGGTTAATTATGCCTTAGATGCTCTAGTCGTCAGTTGGATTGAGCTACGTCATACAGCATTACACGTTGTTAGATATCAGACTTATCAAGGCCGTTGCAGGATGATTGGTCTCAAGAAAACAATCAGATTGGCCAAGACCGCCAGGTCGACACTGTCCTGTGGGATGCTGTCTCTGGCCTCAAGGTTACCTTCTAGTCCGTTTGACCTGCGGAGATCTCATGAGAACGTGAAGGAACCATGGCCGTGCTCACCTGGTCCACGTGGACGCAGCGCGTTTCTTGGCGTCTGTCGCCAAGGGAGGGTTGAAAGTAGACGAGCAGCTGGTGGACTTTGTCAAGGAGATCTGTCCCGGTACAGGAATTGAGTCCGAATCCTTCTGGTCCTCCTTCGGGAAGATGGTGAGGGAAAACCACAGCAGGCAAGTTTCTTCACTTTGATCGCCATGGGTGTGATGAGCCAGCGGCAGGAACAAGGAGCTGTTAGATAAGCGCAGTGCAATCCAAAGCAAGATCGACGAATTTCATGAAGGCCGTTCGGTGATACGATGATGGGGCATGTCTCATGGTGTGAGCGCTGATTGGTGGTTGCGCAGCCGATAGAGTTCGAAAGGTACAAGAAGTTCCTGGTTGACATCGGGTGAGGCTCCGAAGTGAACGTTGTCATTGCTTGTTCGTCACCATGTGCAACAGATACTTGGTTCCCGAGAAAGAGCCCTTCTCCATATCAACAGGTCCCCAGGGTTCCTCGAGCTTGTAAAGGATCCTCACATGCTCAGCAGACTGCGTCGATCCTGAGATTGCTCTTGTCGCCGGCCCTCAGGTACTGATGACGTGGCTGCTTCCTCTGACTCACCTTCCCCCAGCTTGTCTGTCCTGTCGACAACCCTCGATTCATCCTCAACGCTGCGAACGCTCGCTGGTCGGCGACGGCTGCTCCATCAGTGACCTGACGCTATGAGGTAGGGGATCGCTTCTTGACGCCTTCTACGGCACCGATGTCATCCCTGAGGACGGTGAGCACCTTGTGGTTGGTCGATGGCGCGATGACGTCTCTGTCGGAGCACAGGTGGCGCTCACAGGGGGAGGGAGTACAACCCGACGAGAGGGAAGAAGGCAAGAGAATCCTGGGAAGGGAGCGATGCGTGTGGTGAAGCGGAGACCGCAGGTGTTTGAAGAAGTTTTCCGCTGGATGGACGATATTTTCCCGCTCGCAGTCGCTGTCAGTCCTTGTCTCTTCTGCTAGATAAGTCCGCTGATGTCTTCTCTAGAAATACTCCCAGGTGGAGAAATTTTCCATCTCAGAGGTGGGAGATAGCCGCTGCGGCACGCATTCTCTGACTGGGGGCTGGCAGGGCAAGTTGACAGTAACGTACGATAACGGGAAGCAGGACACTCTGAGAAATGGGAAGCAGGTAAATGCTTCCAGCCTCCTGTACATAGTAATTGACAACCTTGTGAACTGAAGCGTGTCCTCGCAGTTTGCGGGTTTCCTTAAGGACGGGGACGAGCTGAGAAGCGTGCTGCTGCGCAACAACGGGCTGCACTTTGAGATCGTCATCGACCACAAGAGCAGCATCGGCAAGTCCAACATCGCCGGCATCAAGGACGTCGTCGTGGAGTCAGCCCTGACCGCCATCGCGGACTGCGAGGACTCGGTGGCGGCCGTGGACGCGGAGGACAAGGTGCAGGTGTACCGGACATGGGCGGGGCTGATGAAGCGAAGCTTGAGTGTTGAGATGCAGAAGGGCTCGAGAATGATCACCCGGCGAATGAACACCGACAGGGTCTGGTCGACTCCAGCTGGAAAGGAGCTGCGGCTGCCGGGGACTACTGTACTCCTCGTGCGAAACGTCGGGATGCACCTGTACACGGATGCTGTGACGCTCGAGGACGGGAGTGAGATTCCTGAGCACATGCTCGACCTGGCCGTCACCAGCCTGGCTGCCTTGCATGACCTCCGAAGCAGCGGAGAGACGAAGAACTCGCGGACGGGGAGTGTGTACATCGTGCGGCCCAAGATGCACGGGCCGGAGGAGGTGGAGTTTGTGAACAAGCTCTTCAACACAACGGAGGACTTCCTGGGTCTGAGGAGGAACACGCTGAAGATGGGGATGATGGATGAGGAGAGGAGAATGACCGTCAACCTCTACGAGGCGATCAGAGCAGCAAAGGAGAGGATTGTCTTCATCAATACCGGGTTTCTTGACCGTACAGGGGACGAGATTCATACGAGCTTTCGCGCTGGTCCCTTCTACCCCAAGGCAGAGCTGAAGCAGCAGCCCTGGCTCAAGGCCTACGAGGACTGGAACGTAGACTGCGGCATGCTGGCGAAACTTCCAGGGAAAGCTCAGATCGGGAAGGGGATGTGGGCTGCTCCGGACAACATGCGGCAGATGCTCAAGGAGAAGATCGGGCATCCGATGGCAGGAGCCAACTGTGCCTGGGTGCCCAACCCTACGGCTGCCTCCCTCCACGCCCTGCACTACCACAAGTGCTCCGTGCAGCAAGTGCAGAACGAGAACATAGCTGGTCGCCCTCGCGCTAACCTTGATCACATCCTGCAGGTGCCGCTGCTGAAGCGGAAGCTCAACGCGGACGAAGTGAAGAAGGAGCTGAACAACAACTGCCAGAGCATCCTCGGCTACGTCGTGCGGTGGGTGGGCCAGGGCGTCGGGTGCTCCAAGGTCCCCGACATCAACGACACACAGCTCATGGAGGACCGAGCGACGTTGAGAATCTCAGCCCAGCTGATCGCCAACTGGCTGTATCACAACATTGTCTCCAAGGACCAAGTGCTCTCAGCTCTCAAGGAGATGGCGGCGGTGGTTGATCGTCAGAACCAGCATGACGCTGCCTACACGCCCATGGTCGGCAACTTCGAAGGACTAGAGTTCCAGGCAGCCGTCAAGCTCATTCTTGACGGGAAGGATATCGCCAACGGCTACACAGAAGGCACCCTTGTGCAGTTCAGAAGGGACTACAAGAGGGGGCAGAGAGGTAGTCGCAAGTGAAGGGAGTTTCACCCGGTGATGATGTGTTAGTAAGTAAAGAACTTGACCTTGTGACGATGTGTTAGTAAAGCACTTGACCTGGTGACGATGTGACGATGAGCACTGACGAGAGAGATCATATCAGATCCGGGATGTTGTGTAAGTGTAGTTCCACGACTGACAGAGTAGTGTGCCAAGTTTGACTGGGGGTAGAGATAATAGCGGGCGAACTTCCTGAGTTGACGTTGAAAGTTTCCAAAGTATCCACACCCTAGAAAGTTTCAAAGTTTCCAAGGGGCCTACTACAACTGGCCGTAGCTAGAGCAGTCAAGAACATGCCGGCGGCTGTAGAAGGGAGGGAAGGAGGGAGGGAGGGGGGAAGGGAGGGGGAAGGGAGCTCTCCGCTCCTCCAAGGAGAAGTAGCAGTGACAGCAGTCACAGACAGCTGGGCAGCAGGGAAGGTAGCGGACGATCACAGCAAGGAGCACGAGCTGAATGGGGTAGGAGGGCAACCCAGTGACAGCAGGAAGGAGGAGCACGGAAGCGAAGAGGAAGAGCAGGTGAATGGAAACAGGTCGATCTCAAGGAAGAGCTCCCGAGACGTGAAAGATCAGTTTGAAAGTATCAGCGAAGGCCATGGCAGTGACAAGTACTTGAGCGAAGACCCACCAGCAAAGGAGGAGGAAACGCCGAATGATTCAGCCGACCCCTTCAAGCACTTAACGAGCGGGGAAGGAGAGTTCGATCGTGTCCCCTCCTTTCATAGCGCATACCATTCGATCGCATCCTCAGTAAGGTCAAGGTCAGGGGCAGCTCGTCTGCCCTTGGTGTTTGTGACTCCGCTGGTAGGTACACCTCGACGCCGAGGACCTTCGAGGCGATCGAGCAGACGCGGGGCAAGGAGCTCGAAGCTTCCAGCACGTTGCTAGAGGAGCTACAGGAGAACTCGGGAGCTATCTTGTTCGCGCTCCTCTTCGTCAGCTTCAGCCTCCTCTTCTCTCTGATCCCCGTCATGCCCTGCTGTCCCGTTCCTGCAGCTCTGACGGGTTCCTGCAGGCTCTCAGGATCCCAGGCAGTGCCATCCAAGTTCTCAGCATCGGTTTGATCGCTCTCCTTTTGCTCCTCTGATTTCCCGGCAGCTGTTGCCATGTTCAAGTGGGAGAGCAGCTCGTGGTTGGCGACCGGCAGGTTGAGCTGTGGGGAGGAGAGTCTTGACCTTGACCTAGCATGCAGCTACAGGCCCCTCCGAGTGCTTCTCAGCTTCTTGCTCATCGGCATACCGCTCGTGACTGGCGCATTTTTGTTGTACGTTGCAGGTGAGTGAAGTGAAGGCGGGGAAGGAGAAGTTGATTGGTTGTGACTCGATGATGTCAGCCAAGAACGGATAACTCTCTCAGACACACCGTTGTGTTTGGATTAAGATTTCTTCTGTAACTTTGAACTTGTGTTGATGTTAAATCTTTTTCTCCTCCTCCTCCTCCTCCTCCTCCTCATGCATTCTCTCGCTCGAATACAAGTTTGAGTCCTCCGATCACGAGAAGGCAGCGCCCCGGCAGCTCGCTGCTGCCTCCCTTTGGCACCGAGCTCCCGTTGATATACACGCTTCCTCTACCGACCTGCGAAGTCACAGATCAGTACAGAAGGGCGTGCGAGATGGGTCCAACGTTGTCGAGCCACCAGCCTTTGCTGTCCTTCCGGATGTAAGCTTGACGGCGAGACACTCCCTTGGCGTCTCCCTCAACTCCGAGGTCAATGTCAGAAGCATCCTGCGGAGAAGTTTCGGAGCAGTTTCTTCCTATCGAGATCTGACAGGGTAGACATAAGGCGGCGACACCAGGGGAGCCATGGCAGTACCTTGGTCTTGTACACCAGGCAGTGGAGCTCGGCACCATCGATCGCTGCCAGGGGATTGACTGGTTCCGCCTCCGAGGAGTCCACCGCCTCAACAAGAGCCGTGATACCGCTATCCTTGGCGAGACTGGGCGTCACTCCTTGAATCAGCCTGCAGCTCTGCTTCAGAGGCAAGGGAAGACGCGATGGCGACAGCGGACACTCACGCGTCCGATGCGCTGCAGATCATCGCCCTTCCGCCTCCGAAGCCTTCCTCTGCCGAGTCACGTCGTCTTAGCCCAAACTTTCCTCCTGCCACACACACAGCATGATGAGTCGATTCTCCTCCTCCTCCAATCATCACAAAATGCCTTGAGACGAAGGTAACTTGGCAGCTGGAGCGTTTCCTTGGATCACGGCGTACTCCGAAGCAACCTGGTGAGTTCCTCTCAGACTGGCGGTTGGCAATATCGCACAGCAGACCTCCATCGCAATCATAGGGTCGTAGAGCATGGAAAACCATCTCGTCTCAAGATCGCGCACAGAAAATGGCGAAGTGAACGGCTGGATATCAAGCTCAGTGGCTCAACTCCTGCTTCACGATCCAGCACCATTTCTGCGGCGATGACTGAAAAATCAAGGCCACTCTCCACTGCAAACAACAGCAGCAGTAAGAGATGGGTAGTAGATTATCAATTAAGACAACCAGCTTTACGTAGAAGCGCATCGTCTACTGGAGTCCACAAGATCCGTTGTCCTTTTGCGATGCGTGGGACTGTGAGTAATTTACAAAGAAGCAACCAACAAGTAGACTTTGATACCCTTCAGCTCCTGGGAGCTTGCGAGCATGCGCGTTGTATATTCCTGTCGTAACTTGTTGACACCACCACCTGTTGAAAAAACATGCAAATACCTCGGACTTTCCGCTCTCTTCTTTCTGGGCATCTGACTTGGTATGAGGTGGGTTCTGTCATTCGTTCATGTTACTGATTGGAGCTCAAAGGGTCAAGACGAAGAGAACCTGCTCGACAGAAATATCTTTGAGGGCAAACGAGCTCTCGGAACTTGACTTTGCGCCTCCCCCTTGAGATGAAGGCACGTTGGCATTTGAGATGTTTTGCTGCTCAGCCTCAGAAGCGTCGATGGCCTTCGAGTTCGCATTTGCATTTCTCGCACTCTCATTCCCCTTCAATGTATTCGAGACATTGTTCTGCAATCCTCCTTGGCTCAAATCCCCTTCTGTGCCGCTAATCTCAGCAGGCTTGCTGACAGTCACAGGTGCGTTCGATTGTGACGAAGGTCGCTTTCCCGCAGGGATCGGGGGAGTAGCAAGAGCAGCATATTTCAACGAGGTCCACCTGCGAACGAGCCATCATCATGCTTTCAGCCGCGTCACCAGTGCGTCTACCCGGCTCTTGCGCTCTCGGGAGAGGAGGCGTTGGCCGGGATCGGGGCTCCAGCGAGATGGGCCCACTTATGGCTGGCCGTTGGACTTCCACTGTTTCTTGCAAGCTGGAGGGCAGCCATCTACAAAGCATAAGTAATCATGCACAAAGAATGAAAGGAGAGCTACTTGTTGTATTGTGGAAACTCCCTGGCTGGAGGTCACACTCACTTGCTGATCTCCTTTTTCCTGTTGCCGAAGCAAACAAGTAGGTGAGTCGTCTGAGTAGATCACGAGTCAGATTACAGATGGTTTTTCTTGCGCGGTTACTGCGCCCTCTCCTTTGAGGCTTTCAGTGGTTGAGGCTTCACTGTAAAAGGAAGACGAACGTCAGTCCAAAGCCGAAACAAATATCTCCCTAGAATTAAGCAATCTAAAGATTTGGAATTCACCTCTGTTCAACCTGACTGCGATCGGAATTTTGCAGATTGCCACCCTGCAGCGCCATTCGCTTTCCATCTGCTGATTGCTGAGCACCGGAGTGTCCACCTTCTAAATCAAAATTGGAGCTTTGATTCGGACCATCCATGTTCGAAGTACTTGATTTCACATCAGACTTGTTCTTCTCGGTTGCTTCTGTAAAGTTTCCGTCCTTGTAGTTTCCTGAATCAACTGTGGCCTCTTGCTTTGCTTCCAGCGTATGACCTTGGCTCTCCGTCACTGTTCTACTGTTGAGCAAAACGTCCATTCCTCTTCCAACACAAAGTTTACCTGCTTGTGCATTGTCCGTCTCCTCTCCCTCTACCTCAGCAGCACCAGCATCATTATCATTGTCATCTTCGTCTTCGTCCATTTCATCCTCCGAGCCATCATTTTGTTGCCCTTCTGCATTGCTTCGTCCACCTCCTCTACCCCTCCCCCGCCCTCTGCCCCGCCCTCTGCCCCTCCCCCTCCCCCTCCCCCTCCCCCTCATCCCCCCCCTCCCTCTATTAGCGGAAGGATCAGGGGAAGCATCTCGAGCAGGCAAACGTCTATCACTTTCCTTAACTCTCTTGGCAGAGACGTCAGAGGAGGCTGGCGCTTCGTTCTTTTCCTCGGCTGCAGGCTTCCTGGTCCTAGGGATCAAACTTGCGAAGCCGCCGACCTCATCCTCTGAAGTTTTCTTGGGCACACGGTCTCTTCTCGAGTAAGGGCTGTTTGCGCTTGCGCTTTCTGCTTTGCCGCTGTCTTTGCTCCTGTCATGTGGCTTGGTTTCAGGTTGAGGTGCACTTGGTTCTGGTGGTGGAGAGGGTCTTGGGTGCTTCCTTGGCCTTCCCGGGCATCTCCTAGGAGGAGCGTGAGCCTGGAGATCGTCCTTCTTCTCATCAGCCGCAGCCCTTCCCTGTCTCCCCTCCCTCCCCTCCCTTCCCCTCTTCTTCCCGAGGGCGCGCCCGCTACCATGTCCCATGACTTCTGCGCTCCCCAAGATACAGCTAACAGGCCAAGCTTCCCGGCGCCGGGCCGGCGGCGACTCCTCCAGGCCCTGGCCGGGCCGCAGGGATCGGACCGTGTTTCGGCCCGGCTGTTTACTCAAAGTGAAGTTAAAAAATCACTTTACTTCAGGAGTCTGATCTGCGGATCCCGCGGCTCCCGGAGCGGCTCACACTGGCAGGTTATCCCGGCTGCTTCAAGTTGCCGGAGCTACTCTATGATCTTTACTCAAACTGCATACTATTATGCAGCCTGACAGACTCGGACTCGTTGCCTCGTGACCCCCGGCCGCCCGGCCGAGAGTCGCGCGGCCGCCGATCGCCGGGATGCGGCGACAGGGACCGTACCCATCCGTAGTACCCACCCCCGGGCAGGCCTTATGGTAGTACTGGACAGAAGGTGCCATGATGGGGTGGTGGTGCACACACTGCAGGCCAGGCAAAAAGTCAGAAGTAGCCTCTTACTACCGCTTGCTAGATACCGGGGGAGCTCTCCAGGAGCTCTAGAGAGACTGACTGACCGGAACTTCGGAAAGTTCCGCGACTCAACTTTACTACTCCACACTTCGGTGAATTTGATATGGGTATAGGTACGGGTGGTCATCGGGATAGAGGGGTAGTGTGGGGAAATAGCTGGTTATGTCTAGCGTCCAATGGATACGGGCTTGCGCGTAAAGTGAATGGGGGGGTGTATTTGATGCTAGGAGATGGGGGTACTCTCCTTGGTTCCAAAGGCTGTTGTAAAGTTCGGAAGAGACGAGGTGGGGTGGGGTAGTAGGACGGATATACTTTGGCAAAATTTGACTGGTCGGGTGCGGTACGCTTCGTTTTGACTACAGAAAATAAAGGGTACTTGTGCTAATTTTAGTGGGTGGGGGTAGAAGGAATAGGATCCAGGGTAGGGTTGTCTTGCTTGATACAGTTCATGGTGGGGTAGGTGCTTCGGGCATGGAAGCAAAGATAGTACCCCATCAAATTAGCATTAAACGACCCCTACAACCGGCGTCGGAACTCATAATAGTAAAAACTTGCGCGCGAGGGCGCGCAATATCAGTTGTCGTCGCACTTCCTGTCCTCGTTGCAGAGTTCACCTGTGTCTTTCCCCTCCTTCGCTCCAACTTCTCTTCCTCCTTCTTCCTTTATCCGCTGAAGTGCTCGTCGCGGAGTCCCTAACCTGAAAGTATTTCTGCACATTCTTGTGGAGTTTTGGCCATGCAGGCCGCAAAAATATTGCCAAGAAGATCTAGAAATGAGCAGTCAAGCATGGCAAAGAAGCAAGGATTATCTCTCAGCCGTGAAGACATCACTCGAATGTTCGATATGAAGCAAAGCGATGCCGCGAAGTTGCTGGTGAGTGACTTGTTCTTGTGGGACATCTCGAAATTGCCTGATCATTTGCAATAGGGGATTTCATTGACGGCACTCAAATGCGTTTGCAGAAAGCTCGGCATCGTGAAGTGGCCCTACAGCAGGTTTCGATCGTTGCCTCAAGCTTCAGACGGAGAAACTCAGCAAGCAAGCAATTCACATCCTCCTCTGCTGGATGACGATTCAGCCTTTTCGGATATTCATGCAGCAGGTCAAAGTTCAAGCTGTATCCACGACGCATATATGGAGGAACCAGCGTTTGCCAGCGGGACTGAGCCTTACTATACTCATCATGTAAATGGGTTTGGTTGCGATCTTGAACAGCCCTTTCCCGTGGGTGTCGAAGTTGACCAATACCTACACGAGGAGAGCAATCTGCTAGAGCCAGCCTGGATAGCTTGGTACATGTTGACAGAAGAACTCCAGCATCCTGACACGTGAGAATTAATGAATCAATAAGGATGCGATAGAGGCAACAAGGTATGAATGTAAATGAAATTATCAACTGTTTGGACTCGCCGGTTGAAAATTAGACTTCTATTAAGTTCACTGTGAGTCTATGATCATTGGCCATTTTTGATCTTTGAAAGTAAAGCTCGTGTTCCGACCAATTCAAGGAACCGTTTTAGTGAAACTCTCGAGCGGTATTGATATATCGTGTCTCCGGGCAGCTTCAATGTACGCCGGGCCGGGTACGGTCGTACAGTGAAGGAGGGCCTCCGAGCCTGAGTGTTGAACGCTGACCGCCACAGAACCGATCACCATCAGATCCCTGAGTCAGCACCCGGCCGTAGCGTCAGTCACAGGCTGTCAGTGGTAGATTGCCGGAAGGCTTCGGAACTGAACTGGACCGCGCCGCCGCGGCCCCCGGGGGCACGGTGGGCCGGGCCGGGCGCGGCCCGCGGCTGAGTGCCAGCCTCGGATGGCGATGAGTGACAAAGGCCGCCCCGGCCGGACTGCGAACCGTGGAACACTGGGCATGTCAGGAGGTCAAGTCAGGGCAAGCCTGCTGTTGCTCGTGTGGACAAGTAGGATCAGCTGCTTCTCTATGTACACCTCGAGGGTAGCTCCTCCTGTGCTTGCAAGGTTGGGAGCATGCTTGATTTGCCGCAGGCCGTCCACTAGGCTGGGCCGTTCGACAAGGGGTGACCGGGGATGTAGCGGAACAAGAGCGATGGCGATGTCAGCTGGAGGGAGCAGCTTGGAGGAAGATGTGATCCGAGCTCGAGCGCTGGTCAGCACAGACTGGCTGCAAGAACACCTGGAAGAGGTGACCATCCTGGACATTCGCGGCGAAGTTGAGAAGCTACCCGCCGAAGCTGATTTCGTGCAAACGGTGTACCGACCATGCAAGGAAGACTTCCTCAACGGCCACATTCCTGGAGCAGAGTTCGTAGACTGGACTGCGGATATTGTCGACCCTCAGTCACTCGTCCCTGTGCAGCTCAGCCCAAAAGATTTGTTCGAGGCCGCCATGGAAGAAAGGGGAGTCTGCAATGACAACACTGTAGTGGTCTATGACAATGGGAACATGCTGTTTGCAACGAGGTTATGGTGGGCTCTGACATACTACGGTCACAAAGATGTTCGAATACTCAACGGTGGTTGGAAGCGCTGGTGTGCAGAAGAAAGAGACATTAGCGTCGACACTGAATGCCCCCTCAAGAAATATGCTGAATTCAACGCCAGAGTGGAACTGCCTTCTTTGAGGTGCGTGGCCTCGGACATGAGAGAGGTAATCAAGAAAACAAGCGATGCGTGCATAGTCGATGCCCGCAACGCTGCGCAGTTCACTTCGAAAGAGCGCCGGGCTAAGAGGTGTGACATGTTCAATCACATCAACGTTGGTTGATTTGCATAGGTCTGGTTGTATTCCTGGAGCGACGAACATTCCTTACAAGCGACTTATCAACAAAGAAATGGGAGGATACCTCAGGTGATTCATCTCCGCAATGCCTGCTCATGTCTGATGATGCTCCCAGCGATGAGCAAATGATCGCAGTAATCGCCTGTCATCCGAAGCAAGTACGATCTTAAACTTATGACAGATTCTAAAAGATGAAGGACTTGATGTCCAAGATATGAAGAATCGCAAGACATTCTTGTATCCCCAATTGAGTTTCTTCCAGTGGTAAACTTCAATGCAGGTACTGTAACGGCGGGGTTGCAAGCACTGCTGTTCTATTTGCGCTTTGGAAGCTTGGAATCCCTCTTTGCAACCTGTCGAACTACGACGGATCATGGGGTAGCCTCGCTCTTGGCCACTATTATACTACCGACCAGCTGGCTAACTTGTGCTCTTCAGGGGAGTGGGGAAATCAGGAAGACGATGAGCTTTATCCCGTCGCCCGGACATAAGTATCTGAACATCCACAGGGTGATGTAGGCAACGTCGTATGTGGCAAGTGTTCATTGCGTTACTTTCAATGTCTTGTCTACCTCAAGGCTTTGTATCTAGAGCTATGAGCTCTTCCTAAGATACAAATACCCCTGATAGGTTCTCCTGTGGACCACCCGAAACACGAATCACTTCAGTGCCTGGAGCTCCTCGAGCGTGAAGATCGGGATCGGAGTCCCGCTCTGATAGCAAATTCCGTTCGGATCACATTCCCTGCCGAGCAGTGCCGACTCCGACTGGATGGTCTTCCCATCCTTGCCGTTGGCCTGCAGCACAACGATCCACTTTGGTGGGGATGTGTCGCCGTAGAAGCTGCAGTGATCACATTCTAGACCGCGGCCGCTCATGATATTCTTGACAAACTTGCCGTCTGGGACAATGGCCGCATAGCACTCATTCTCTCTGTACTTATCTCTCATGCTGGCGAGGTCGCCGCCCGCTCCGATCCCAATAGCCTTGATGCCCTTGTTTTGAAGCTCCTTCAACATTTTCTGAGGCAATTTGGAGTTGTCGTCAAAGATTGCAATGGTGGCATCTTCGAGTGGAAAGTCGCCCATCAACTTCTGCAAGGATACAGGAAGATTTTTCGTGTCGTATTCCGCCGCAGCGAACTCAGTAGCCTGAAAACCGAAGGACAGTGCAGGAGCAACTAGAAGAGTTTTCGACAAGAACGACCTCCTGTCAAGCATGTTCATGGGCTGGTACTTGCTATATTGCTTCGAATCCGATGTCATGGTTGGTGTCACGAATGGCTTTCTTAAAATACGGGCGGCAGGGAGGCTTGGAGTGCACAATCCTACGAACTGCAACAAGGGAAAAAGTGTGGACAAGAAGCATGTTAGCAGAGGAAGACATGACGGAGTTACAGCGAGAACATGATTTCAGATCTTACCGACACTTCGTCAGCACGTGCAGGTGTATAGCTGATCGTTGTCACGCTCAGAGCCACCACGAACGCTCGCAGCATCGTCGGCATCACGGTCCCTTGTGTTTTGTTTTTTCGTGTAAAACGTAGGCAAGTTTTTTTTGTTCAAAGTTGATACAAATTTAAAACAGCTGGATACATATTCGTTTTACAATACACCGGCTTTTAATAAATATATATATAATTTTTGAGCTAATAATTAATTAAATTCAGTACTGAAAGCAACCTACGCATGTGGTATTGGTACTATACAATTACTAAGACTGGTACAAGGTGATTGTACGAGTACTGCAGTTGGTCGACAGCCTCGGAGGTTCCGAGTCGGTTAAGTCTCACAGGCCCTACCCCGATGCGATTAACGGATAATACCGCCAATGCACAATCCATCCTTGACTGCCGCACTCACGGCAAGAAGGGAGAAGCGATGAGGAGCGTTGCCAGCTCCAACGAGGAGAGGAGACAGGGAGGCTGGGATGGCGGCCAGGAAGAGAGCTGAGTTGGAGGTGTAGATGCCACAACAGGGTGGTCAATTTTTCACGTGCGCGAGAGTCATAGAGGGGGACACTAAGACAATTTGATCTCGTAGCCATCATCACCGGAAGTGTATGCCTTCCTGTAGATGCATTGATCAGTATTTTTCTTGCTCTTAACACTGAACGCCCTCACACGCCTTGATCAAGACTTTTCAGCAGGGTTTCAACCATCCCCGCAGCATGTTGCCTTGAAGCTACTGTATCCTACCTCGATGTCTCTGTCGTCAGAGTCCAAAGACTTGGAACCCTTCGGAGTCAACTATAGATTCGAGAACCATGTGAGAGGCAGCCATGCCGCCTGTCGACGTACTGAATGCTGTATTTTGCACAGATACCTGGGTATTCAGGCTTCATACCAAAATTTCAGTTTCACCATGGGTTGACATTTGCTTCTGCTACACGTGAGTGCAAGGTAGAACGGATGCTGTGAACATGACGAGAACGTGAACTAGGTGCGGTGATGGCATGCCCGCCAACTCCAGACTTCGATACTACCGTCACCATGGACTACAGGGTCGGCCGGCGCAGAGTCATGACATCGAGCCCCATCCTCGGGACAGGGTTCAGCAGCCTCCGGGGCCTGGATCCTTCAGATGAGGATGACAACGTGGGGCCAAGAACCTTCCTGCAGGGAGGACCGGTCAACCTCGCCAGCTACTACGAGGACTTGCAGAGGAAGGTGGACCGGATGAGGAAGGAGAACCCCAAGTCCATCACGCAGCGGAAGAATCCTCTGAGGAACCGGTCGCAGGTCACTGTTGGAGACGGGTACTACTACACGGGGAAGCACATGTTCACTACCACCTTCAAAGAGTCGTACGATGAGAAGATCCAACCGGAGAGCGAGGACGAGAGTCCCAATCTGACACGCTCGTTCTCAGACCTCAGGCAGTCCAACCTCAGCAGCCCCAAAAGGCTTCAGACTCCCAATTCTGGTGCCAATGCCTCCTTCGCCCGGCTACCAAGTACTGGCTCTCATCAGCTGACCACCGCTAGCAGCATCCTGCAGCGGTCGGCAAGCACAGGGTCAAGAAGGGCTCCTTCCTCCAAGACTTCAGTGGCGGCGAACAGGATCCTGGATCCCACGTCCGATGATCCCTTGATCTACAGGTGACGTCGCTTCCTTACCTGCCACGGAGTCGTCTCACACGATCTTGGCAGGTACAGTGTTGCGCAGGCGATAGTGGGGAAGAGCAGGGTGGACGACCTCAATCGACAAGTATGGAACGATGCCGTTGTTGACTGGCTCTTTGACTGTGACCTCCCAGCTGGCCGAGAGAGTGACCGCAAAGGTCACGAGTGCCCCCAAAGACATGATGAAACTTTTCAATTTCTATGCCAGGACAGGTCTTCCCAGCAGCGTGAGAGAGTTGACGTGCTAAGGTCTGAGCAGGTGCCGACCTGGGGCATCCGATCATTGGCCACATGGAGTTTCTGCACATTGTGCAGACATTGGGGATCTACATAACGTTCCGAGAGGCTCTCGCACTCTTTGGACGGTACGATGTCGCATCGTCTGAACTCAACGGACAGTTGGAGTACTTTGAGTTTATCAACCTTTTCCTTGAGTCTCATGAGCAGGTCGCTTGCTTCTTGTGAGTTCATCTCAACCTGACACAACGCACAGATTGTCCAGCATGATGACAACGAGTGACAGGTTGAAAAGGTTTGTGAACAACTCACACGTGGTCAACTCTTGTGAAGCAATCTTGATCTATTTTTTTTGAGAGTACAATCTCGACATCACCGCTTCTCTACTTCCTGTGGAGTCTTCGCAACAATGTTTAGAGCATGCAACCCTTGCTGAAACTGCTCGTTCAACAACGCATAGACCATTTGGTGCCTCTTGACCAGCGACAGCCCCTCAAACTTGGAAGATACCACCTTCAATCGGAAGTGTGTCTCCTTGGCAGTGGAGCCTTTCATTGCTTCGTGTCCAGCATGCTTTGCGGAATCGTCAACGAGTTCGATGTGAGTTGGTTGCAGTTGCTTGTCGATGACATTCCAGATGCTGCTGTAGATTGGGCCTGTCACCATCATCAAGGATCACAAAGGACTTCATTGTGAACAGCTCCTCATAACTTCTCACCCTTTCCTTCTGTAGACATGCTCCTCTTCGCTAATGCCGCAGATTGGTATATGTGCTGGGGGTATTTCACACTGCTCCGCAGAAGAAGTCGAATGTTCTTAATGAACATCCGACAGGAGAGAAAATTTTCACTCAGAGCACCTGGACATGATCAGAGAGCAACTCAGACACGGTTACTGATAACAGCTTTCTAGCACCACCATGCTCTCATCACATCAAACATTTTCCTTGACAAGTCGTTTCCGAATCCTCCTTGCTTTCACTAGTTTGCGCCTTCTGGGCCTGTTTTCCGTTTTGCTTCGGATCATAGCAACTTTTGTCTAAACGTCTTCAAGTAATCTATGCATCTCCTTGATTATTGCATACTATCATATCTAAAAAGCTCTTCCACCTCGTTTTCACATGCCTCTCCCCTGCCTAAATTCCACCTGATATGCCCTCAATTCAAAGTTAAGCCTCAATTCACTTTGGTCATCTCTCCTTGTTACATTCTTATCTCCACCTCTCCCTTCCTCCCTCCCTCTCCTCCTTTTTGATCCTCCTGCTCTCCTCTCCTCTCCTCTCCCCTCTCCCCTCTCTCCTCTCTCCTCTCCACTCTCCTCGCTCGTCTTTCCTTTCTCCTCTTTCATGTAGTTCGGTCACTCCCTCGGGTAGTTAATCTATTTTGCTCGGGTAAATAATCATTCTTGATCATACAAGTCGTTTTTATTACGGCTGCCAGAAATACCTCACCCTACCCTGCCACTCCTCATGTTGATTTGTACCACCCTACCCCTATGGGAAATGACCAACAATATTTGGTGAATCGGAGGGGTGTAAAAAGAGAAACTTATGAATGGCTGACGTGAACCCTATCCTCCTCCCCATTTGTCAACTTCAACATGAATAACAGTTTTTAAATTGAATCGCGGTACTACATAAAACATATTTATTGTAAATATATTGTAGAGGTATGGCAGCTGGCAGCAGCGCTCGGCGTACGGGGCCATGCCAGGAAGTCAGGGTCACGAGTGAGAGCAGAGGATGGTTGACAGATGTCTTGAATCTTGTTGATGCTGCTTGTGTTGTTTGACTTCTTGATATTCTGGTGTCGCTGAAAATGGTGATCGCGCTTACAATAACAAAAAACATGTGGCATCGGAATCAGCAAGCCAGAAACTTCATCCCAATCGTCTTACTATGCTGGGCTGTTGGATTAAACTCCTTCGAAATAAAAGCAAGATCAGTGTCAATGCAGAGATTGAACGCACCATTCAATCCTAAATTGATAGCGATCCGATCAAACAATGGAAGTCAAAGCGATCCCAGTATTACCAGCGAAATCAAAATATGCAATAACAACATGTACGGGGAGGAATGCACGGCGGTCTGCGACATGGAGAGGGACTGCAACGGGAACGGGCGGTGCGGAGGGCAGACGGGAGCATGCGTGTGCTACGAGGGGTACACGGGAGCCAACTGCTCGAAGGCAGCAGGAGGGGAGGAGATCTGCGGGGCGGACGTGTACGGGGAGGGATGCACGGCGGTCTGCGACATGGAGAGGGACTGCAACGGGAACGGGCGGTGCGGAGGGCAGACGGGAGCATGCGTGTGCTACGAGGGGTACACGGGAGCCAACTGCTCGAAGGAAGCAGGAGGGGAGGAGATCTGCGGGGCGGACGTGTACGGGGAGGGATGCACGGCGGTCTGCGACATGGAGAGGGACTGCAACGGGAACGGGCGGTGCGGAGGGCAGACGGGAGCATGCGTGTGCTACGAGGGGTACACGGGAGCCAACTGCTCGAAGGCAGCAGGAGGGGAGGAGATCTGCGGGGCGGACGTGTACGGGGAGGGATGCACGGCGGTCTGCGACATGGAGAGGGACTGCAACGGGAACGGGCGGTGCGGAGGGCAGACGGGAGCATGCGTGTGCTACGAGGGGTACACGGGAGCCAACTGCTCGGAGGAAGCAGGAGGGGAGGAGATCTGCGGGGCGGACGTTGTACGGGGAGGGATGCACGGCGGTCTGCGACATGGAGAGGGACTGCAACGGGAACGGGCGGTGCGGAGGGCAGACGGGAGCATGCGTGTGCTACGAGGGGTACACGGGAGCCAACTGCTCGGAGGAAGCAGGAGGGGAGGAGATCTGCGGGGCGGACGTGTACGGGGAGGGATGCACGGCGGTCTGCGACATGGAGAGGGACTGCAACGGGAACGGGCGGTGCGGAGGGCAGACGGGAGCATGCGTGTGCTACGAGGGGTACACGGGAGCCAACTGCTCGGAGGGAGCAGGAGGGGAGGAGATCTGCGGGGCGGACGTGTACGGGGAGGGATGCACGGCGGTCTGCGACATGGAGAGGGACTGCAACGGGAACGGGCGGTGCGGAGGGCAGACGGGAGCATGCGTGTGCTACGAGGGGTACACGGGAGCCAACTGCTCGAAGGCAGCAGGAGGGGAGGAGATCTGCGGGGCGGACGTGTACGGGGAGGGATGCACGGCGGTCTGCGACATGGAGAGGGACTGCAACGGGAACGGGCGGTGCGGAGGGCAGACGGGAGCATGCGTGTGCTACGAGGGGTACACGGGAGCCAACTGCTCGGAGGGAGCAGGAGGGGAGGAGATCTGCGGGGCGGACGTGTACGGGGAGGGATGCACGGCGGTCTGCGACATGGAGAGGGACTGCAACGGGAACGGGCGGTGCGGAGGGCAGACGGGAGCATGCGTGTGCTACGAGGGGTACACGGGAGCCAACTGCTCGGAGGAAGCAGGAGGGGAGGAGATCTGCGGGGCGGACGTGTACGGGGAGGGATGCACGGCGGTCTGCGACATGGAGAGGGACTGCAACGGGAACGGGCGGTGCGGAGGGCAGACGGGAGCATGCGTGTGCTACGAGGGGTACACGGGAGCCAATTGTTCGATGCGGGATGTTCCAGATTGTAGTCATGGTCAATTTGTGCAATATTCGTCTGTTCTTGATATGTTTATTTGTGTCGAGTGTGATTTCAGCTTATGTCCTTCTGGATCATTTCTTTCTGGTTGTTCCGGAAGTTCTTCAGGTCATTGTGTGCAATGCGACTCTTGTTCGCCCGGCGAATATCTTGACGGTTGCGGTGGGGGCTTTAATGGTGAGTTTCATTGTATATTGTTCCTTAAACTGTTTTCCTTGGTTGTGTTTCATATTCTCTTCAGTCAAATCTGCTGTTGTTTGACGTTCTCTCAATCGTTCTCTCACAAACATGTTGACTGACTTGTTGATGCTCGCAGGAACATGCAAACAGTGTAAAACATGCGGGACAGCCGAGTACATCTCGGTTCCTTGCAACGAGACCTCTGATACGATCTGCCAAAACTGCAGCTCACGTCGTTGTGGCGATGAAGAATTCCTCGATCAATGTGGAAGCGGAAGTGCTGGGAGCTGTTCCTCGTGCTCCACCTGCGGTGCAGGGCAGTACGAGGCTTCCGCATGCTCAACCTCTGTCGACAGACTCTGTCTCAACTGCTCCTCGTTGCAGTGCCCTGACGAGTCCTTCCGATGGGGATGCGGCAACGGCTCCACTGGCGAGTGTAGTCAGTGCAGGACCTGCGGGTCTAACGAATACCAGAGCTCGGCATGCAGTCAAGATTCAGATCGAAGCTGCTCAGACTGCAGTTTGCGTTGCAATGCCGGGGAGTTTGTTCAAGGTTGCGGCAACGGCAGTGCTGGATCCTGTCAGGCATGCAGCAGCTGCTCGAGCTCGGAATACCTCACAGCCAACTGCAGCACAACGGCGGATACAGGCTGCTCCTCTTGCCGCGTCTGCTCAGGCAGTCAGTACGAGCTCTCGCCATGCTCGCTGGTCTCTGATCGCGTCTGCGCTGAATGCTCGCAGTATCGCTGTCCTCCAGGATCTTACTTGACTGGGTGTGGGAACGGCAGCAGGGGGACTTGCTGGGATTTTCCTTCGGTCGCCAGCGTCACCCCGGCCTCGGGATGCAGCGGAAGAAGCTTCGTGACACGAGTGGTCATCCGATCCCCTCAGCTCGACGACCTGCCCGTCCCTGCCGTGGCCTCAGCGACTCTCAATGTGTCCGTGCTGGTCACATCGTTGGATCTGAGCAGGAAGATCATCACGGTAGACATGCGGGTGGAGGCTCCGCTCGCCGCCGTCGGGTTTCAACCCGTGCAAGTTTCCCTTTGCGACTTCAATCCTTGTGGACGCAACGTCACCTTCCTGGTCGAACTGATCAGTCAGACAGCTCTCAATCTGCTGGACTCATTTCCCAGCTCAGGGTATCGCTATGCTTACACGTCCTTCTTTGTACGCTTGTCCAACGTGTTAGCAGAGCAACCGACCACGGCCTTCCAGATGTTGTTGAGCTCAACGAACCAGACTTTAGCAGCTGTGAGCGTGACGTACGAAGCTTCGCAATACTGTTCCAACGTGGCTACCATCCAGTTCCTCCTCCCTCCGATCGGCACGAGCACCACCCTCCAGCCTCTAATCTCTGCCAACTCTGCTAAGGACTCCAACCCCGTGCAGCTGAGGCTTCCCGTCTACCGTTACGTCGCTGCTCCCAACCTTCAAGTCTCTTCTATCTTTCCTTCTACCGGCGGGGTCTCAGCCCCTGTCCGCATACAGATTGCCGTCCAAAACTTCCCTGAGACTCAATCATCAGGGGGCGGATGCGGAGACGTTGTGGTGATGTTCGAGTGGGCGATGAACGGCAATGTTACCTCTCTTGAAGGACAGGTCCAAGCATGTCAGAGGCAGCTGGCGACTTCTCTTGCGGGGCCCTTGACTGTGGATGTCTCCTCCCCGAATGGCGACAGCGTCCCCGTGGGCCCAGCGACTGTTGTGATCTACCACAGGAGGTACTACTCCAAGGAAGACCTCGCGAGGGATACGGATGCTAGGGCAACGTATGAATCCTTCCTCTTCTTCAATGACAGGAAAGCAAGGATTTACATGATTACCAACGAGTTCGGTGACTCCGGTGTAAGTTCTGTGAAAGTCAAACAAGACGCCGCTACCTTGGTGTCTCTCTTCATACAGAACGCCGACCCATCGGTTCCGCGTGCTGACTACACTGTCAAGGTGGGAAGGTATCGGTACAGTAGCAATTGCTCGGGATACTCCTACTGCATCGACTCGTACCTCGTCTCGGTCGATGCCGCGACACAGTCAGGAGTGATCAAGTTCAGCGTGCCAGCCAACGTGTCAGGTGGGGTGACTGCTGGACCGATCGGAGGGATCCTGGTGTATGGAAAGGAAGACTGCCCGACGACTTGTTGTGAGCAGAGTTCTTGTCAGAGAGTGTGCAAGAACCTTGTCACGAATTGTTTCGCGTTTGACTTGTACGACAAGCTGCCGTATGTCCAATTTGTTTCGAGCACTCAGGGGCCTGACACAGGAGGCAACTCAATCGATGTCGGGATAGCGAACTTTCCTGTTGTCCTGTCCAGCGATCTCACGCTTCGGTTGGCTGGGAAAGATCTTCCTGCCTCCAACTGGCAGCTGCTGAGGTCTGTCGTTGATGTCACGCAGGTCAGACTGTTCCCTCCATCGTTCAATCTTGGTGCAAGCACGCAGGAGACAGTCGTGGCGTCGATTATATCTAGAAGCACACTCAAGGCTGTCAACTTCAGTTACACCTACGTCTTTTACCCCCAGCAACTCAGCTCCGTCTCAGTCACCAGTGGACCCAGCACGGGATGCCAGGCAGTGCGAGTGGACATCTCACATTTCCGATATCCGTCTGCCATTCAAGACTGTATTGATGTCCCTTCGCAATGTCTTTCTGTGCAGTTCGGTTCAACTGCGCTCTCCGATGCCCCTGTAGCGACGACATGCGACAAGCTTGCCGGCACGTTCGCCGTGTCCGTCCTCTCCTCGCCTCTCTCCTGTGTCCTCAGCATCGTGACCCCTGCCAGCGTTCCTGGTCAGGTGGTCGTGGTTGTCAGCCCAACAGGCTGTGGAACAAATTGTGACACGGTTAGCTTCAACTTCCTCCAGCAAGACACCAGTTTGCTCCAGGTGGTCGACCCCTTACCAAGGCAGGGCCCAGCCAAGAGCGAAACCTTGTTCGAGGATGTTTACCTAGTCAACTTCCCTTGGGAGACTTTCTCCTCGGTGAGCGTGGGTGTTGTTGGGAATCAGACTTTCAAGGCGAGTGTCGTCTCAGCTCCGGTCAGGGTTGACGACAAAATCACCAGGCTGAAAGTCAAGATGCCTTACTATCCCCTCGTTGAGAACGTGACGGTGCTGGTGAACGTGACGGCCGGAGGTCTTCTCAAGACCGTCAACTTTTCCTACACGTTCTTCGATGGGTTTGCCCTGAAGATCATGAGCCTGGCCCCCCAAGCTGTTCCCGTGTCAGTCACTGTGCTGGGGAGGTCCATCAGCTACAAGACAGTGGTGACCTTGTTGATTGCAAACTTCCCGCAAACTCTAGGCTCCGGAGGCTTCAACGTCACCGTCAGCGGCCTTCTGTCACAAGTTCTCTCCGTGAACAACCTTGTTTCTTGCCCACCTGAGGTTCCCTACTGCAACCGGACCCAGGTGAAGGTCATGCTTCCTCCCCTGACGTCCCTCGGAGATCTTCCTCTCCTCCTGCTCCTTCCGCAGGGCCCAGCTATGAGCTCGTACCAGTTCTCCTTGAGCACGTTCCTTCCTTGCAACTATGAGACGTTTTGCGGCATGCAGTCAGTTCCCGATGTGTTGCTCCTGCAGGGAGACTCTGCTGCGACCTGCGACGCTGCATACTGCGTCCAGGATGCGCTGGTGCCGCAGGCTACCATCCTCTCAGTGAATCAGAGTGTCGGGATGGTCACGGGGAACAACAAGGTCCTCGTTCAGTTCAGCAACTTCCCAGCACTTCTGCCTGCCGACTTGCTGATCGCTGTCAACGTCCAAGGCCGTCAGTTCCTCCTTGCCCCGGACACTTTGACCATGGCACGGAGCTCTACCCTGCTGGCTTCCAGCGGCTCGTTGGTGATGAACATGCCGCAGTTGCCAAAGAACGAGGACCAAGTCGCTGTTGTCACTCTGACCTTGACCTTGGGCGCGATCGTCAGAGCCGCCTCCTTCCGTTATCAGTACTTGGGTCTGCTCAGCGGAGCCGCGCGGGTCCAGTCGTTCTTCCCCTCAACGGTGTTGAGGACTGAGGACTTGAGCCTCCAATTGGAGCTGGGCAACGTTCCCCAGCTGAAGCTTCCGTTCAACTCCTCTGCGATCGTCTTCAACGTCAACTCCACGTCATTCCAGCTGAACAACGTCGCTGTGACTTCCATCATCTCCTCCAGTTCGACCAGCACGCGCGTCTTGCTGGTAGTTCCTGCTCCGTCCTCGCGCTGGTCAGTGGGTGCGCTGACAGTGTCCATATGCTACCGCGTCTCTGACGACGTGTGTGCTCGGTACGGGCTGAGCTCGCAGGCCTGCACGAGCAGAGCTCTGTGTGAGCGAGGAGCGAGCGTGCAGGTCATGGTCCAGCCTACTCCTCCCCCAAAGTTCCTGCGATCCTTTCCGACGTCAGGAGCGTCGGACTCGGCGACTGACCTGCAAGTCTCCCTGCAGTACCTCGAGCCCGGGGCCTCCCGTGGTGACTTTGAAGTCTCTCTCCAGATATCACTGAATCAGTCGCGACCGGTGGCAGTTAACACCGTAAGCTCTAGAAACCCCAACTGCCTGTATCCCGAGTGTTCGGTCGTGGACTTGACTCTCACGATGCCGGCTGTTGACAACTTCGTTGGCTCGGTTCAAGTTGTGATCAAGATCCACAACATCTCGATCTCCTACAGCTTTGACTACCTAGCGAGCAATCAACCTAAGATCCGATTCTTCCAGCCATCCTCGCAGTACATCTGCATGCAACCGAGCGATACTAGCTGCCTCGCTCAATCTTCTACGGCTACGGCCATGCTGGAGAACTTGATCCCTGCTTGCTTGTTGTCTTCTCAGTGCAAGGCCGACGCACCAGGTATCAACGTCACTTTCGCAGTCGAGTCTGCGACGTTGCGAGCTGAGAACGTGAGGGTAAGACTTGTCAACGGGATGCTGCAGGTGGACTTTGTTGTTCCTCCTTGGTCCTTTCCAGGAGCGAGTGAGGTGGAGATAAGCAACGGAACTCACAAGGTCGGCTATCAAGACTTCTTCTACCTCATCCCTCCTGCTCAAGTCAACCCGATCGATTGCCCGGTGGACGGAGGCATCAAGATGAATGTGTCAGCCTGGGGGTTGTTGTCTATCAACTCCTCCTCCTCCATCACTGTCTCTGTGCAGAGCACCAACGTCGAGGTCCTGCCTCTCAGTCAAAATCTCGCATCGAATCTTGTGTCTCTTGCTTACGTCGCTCCCTCAGCTGCAAGCGCTGGAAGTGCAGTCGGGGTGGTAGCCAACGGATTGAACAACCAGGTGGCGAAGTTTTACTTCGACTACGCGAACAGGCCGTCAGTCATCAGCATCGTGCCCAGCGTGGCGACAACACAAGGCACAACCTATCCGAACCTGGTGGGCGACAAATCCCTCATGACGACCCTCAGGATCGTCAACTTCCCGGTCGTGACAACCCCAGCTGAGGTTGTGCTGACGTTTGGTAGCGTTGAGTGTCGCTGTGTGATCCCGACGTGCCCCGTCTACTGCGGCATCGTGGGGCTCACAAGCACGACGGCTGTCACCGAGCTCCAGGTCATCGTCCCTCCAGCACGAGAGGTGCTGGGAGGAGCGACTTCAGGTCAAACCACCATCAGCGTGAAGCAGGGGAGCGCTGGAGCACAGAGAGGGTTTGTCAGAGAGACCTCGACTACGTTCACCTACTATCAGCCGCCCCCAGCTGTCAGACTCGTCCGCTTCTGCCCGATGTGCAATCCTGGGAGCACGTGCATCGTGAACGGGGCTTGCGGAGGTGGGAAGGCCGCGCAGGCAGGGTTTGTGACTTGGTCAGACCAGCAGCAGCAGGGCAACAACAACGTCCTACAATTGACGGTTGACAACATTGACGAGTGGATCAGCTCGAGCGTCGGGGCTGATGGGAAACTCGTCGGCTCTGCCGCCTTCGGTATCACCGTCGGGTTGAATCAAGCAGTGGCTGACCTGCCTGCTGGGGTGACCCCAGTCCTGGTGCTTGACCGCCAACGGGCGCTGTTCTCAGCTCGCATGCCGCAACTTCAGACCTTCGGGTCTCTTGACGGGTCGATCACTCTCAGGACGAGCGGGAACTCGATGCTGAGCTGGACAGTGGCGTTCCAGATGCAGTTCATCGACGATCGGAGAGAGGTCCGATGCCTCTCAGCCGCCTGCGTTGCCTCTGTGACGAACCCCTCGCCATTGACGGCGTCCATCAAGAACGTCCCCCTGACGAGCAAGTCTGCTGCTGAGGATCAGCTCGTCGTCTCCGTAGGCTCTCTCCGAGCTGACTTCACCGTCCTGACCTGCAACGCGACCATCATCACCATCTTGCTCACTCCCCCTCAGTTCACCTGCAACTCCTGCACACTCTCAGCTGGGACGGCCACGGTCAAGTTCCAGGTGACCATGAGGTCAGATCCGACAGTGGTGGCTCTCACAGACTTGGTGTACTGGGGCAGCCCCCAGGTGGTCTCAGCCAACTTCGATCCGACCGGGGCCTTCGTGATCGTCGTGTTCGACCAGAGCACGGACGGGAGGGTCAAGTTCGCTTCCTCCGAGTCTTGCAGTGAGATCGTGGGGAGTGACGCTGGGCTGCTGGGGCAGACAGCTCCAAAGTGCGTCTGGACTTCGGATCAATCTTTCAACATCTTCCTCTCCGCCGGAGCCACCGTCTTGCCAGGGTCAGCCGTCACCATCAGGGGCGTCCGGTCGAAGAACCAAGTCTCGATGCCAATGCTGGAGACTGTGAGGGTCGGGACGCCAGTCTCGCCCCTGTATCCTTCCGTGCAAGTCAGCGCCCCTCAAGAGGTGGACCCCTGCTCTCCCCTGACCCTCCGAGCTCTCTCCAAGAGCGCCAGGCAGCTGAGCTACAGCTGGAGGTGTCTGAACGACGACGGGCTGAACGCGTTCCTCACCGACCTCCTCCCCAGCACCAGCACTGTGCAGTTCGACGCTGGCGTGCCGCAGATGACGACAGCAGGCAAGACGTACACGATCGGAGTGACAGTGAAGGACTTCTTGGGTTTCTCCAGCAAGGAGGCTGTGGTGTCCGTGACGAAGAAGGCCTTCCCTTCTCCCACCGTCGTCTTCGCTCCCCAGTCTCCCTTCTCCACCTTGGTGGACCAGGACGTGACTCTCACCGCCACTGCCGTCTTCTCCTCCTGCCCTGTCGCCAAGAACGACATGGTATTCCGCTGGACACAGTCTTCCGGCCCCACCGTGTCTCCCAGCTACATTCCCAGCAGCACCTCACAACTGTGGATACCCAAGTACGAGCTGCAAGCTGGCAGCACGTACACGTTCGACCTGACCGTCAGCATGCTGGGAGACAGCTCGGTATCGACGACAGCTCGCTACACCATCGTGACCGGCAACCTGCCGCTCGTGGCCTCCATAGCTGGGGGAGATCTGATCCAGGTGTCGGAGAGCTCGGCATTGCAGCTGGACGGAAGCGGCTCTAGAGACTTGGATCTGAGGAAGGGGGCGGATCAAGGGCTCTCCTACCTCTGGAGCTGTTACTTCTCCGACGGTTTCGTCTCCCAACCTTGCCAGATCGCTGGCCTCCAGCTGGGGCAGCAGCAGACACCTCAGGTTACCTTGCCGGCTGGCTCGCTGTCAGCGACAGGAGACTTGTTCTATACCTTCTTGTTGATGGCGTCAAAGGGCGCCAAGACACCTTCCACAGCAAGCAAGAACGTCCAGGTTGTCAAGGGGTTCGTACCCACGGTCATGATCACCTCGAGCATCTCGGCGTTTGACGGCGCTGTTGGGATAGTGAACCAGCAAGAGACTGTTGTCTTCCAGGCCTCCTGCCCTTACCCCTCTCCTTCTTACACTTGGACCATCCAACCGACTCTCAACGTGCCGTACGAGGCAACCGGGGTGTTTCCTTTCGGACAGAAGGGCGCTACCTTCCTGGTGCAGACCAGCACATCCGTCTTCACTTCAGGCTCAGTCTACCTTGTCAAACTTGACTGCCTTGTCAACGGGAGTGTCGGGACGTCGTCGACGAGCTTCCAGGTCAACACGCCACCTCAAGGAGGATCCTGTGCTGCCTGCGTCGCCTCGAGCTCCGGCGACTGCAGGAAGGACGGGAGGCCGTTACTAGACGAATTCGTGGTCACGTGCACCAACTGGATTGACACCGACGCTCCTCCATCCTACGAGTTTGGCTTCTCGTTCGTGCAGGACGGAGAGCTGGTGAGCAAGTGGTTCCAGCCGACGTCTCTCCCGTTCCTGAGCCTCAGGCTGCCGTCCAGCTCTGCCATCCAGATCAACGCCATCGTTCGAGACAGCAGAGGAGCCGCGACGCCTGTGCTGCAGGACCTGGTGACGACTGCGGCGAGCGGCAGGCGGCTGCTAGCGGCTGGCACGGACTGGACGGGAATCAAGAGCGACCTGCTGGAGAAGTCGCAGACGCAAGACATGGCAGGGCTGAACCAGCTCATGACTTCGGTATCCCTCGACCTCACCAACCAGATCAGCTCGAACTCGACCAGCGAAGCTGTCGCTCGCTCCCTCGTGGTCTACATGTTGACCCTAGCGAGGCAGGCCTACGCGTCCTACCCCATGACTCAGTCCTTCTTCTCCGACTCCCTGAGCACGCTGGCCAGCACAAGCAGCGAGAGTCGTGCTCAGAGCAACACGTCAGTCGAGGAGGCGACGCAGCTGGCTGAAGGCCTTGTCCGCAGGTACTCGGGTCAGGTCGGCCAGGACATGCTGTCGCACTCGCTTGACTTGTTTGGTGACGCCATGTCGTGGTACTTCGCCAGCTACTCGCAGCTCGATGCTCAGCTGGTCAACCGCATGCAGTCGACCTTGCTCGCTGTTTCTCTAGGCTTCTTGGACACTCTGGTGGTAGGACAGGAGCTCGCGCTGGTCAAGCCCAACATCGCGCAAGCCGTCTTCCTCAAGACCGAGGAGCAGGTGCAGGCAGGGACGTTTGCTGTGAGTGTCCCGACAGTCTTGGAAGGCTTGTTCTCCACCAAGAATGTTTCTTTTGGCTTTCGTCTTTCCTCTGGTCAGGTTGCGACCCAGGATACCACCTCGGTCTCGGTGCGGGTCTACAAGTTGTTTCAAGGTCTGATCAACGGTTCCTCTCCGCTCTCTCCCCTCCTCGGCGCCTCCGTGCGGCAGGCGGCGACGCGTCAGCTGGGCTTCCTGCTGGTGTCGACCCCCATAAGGAGGGGCGCGCTGCTGTCAGCGCTGCGATCGGATCGGTTGACGGCAAGGTGTCTGAGGTGGAGCAACAACAGCTTTCAGAGCGATGCCTGTGAAGTGGAGCTCGTGGACCTGACCAGAGAGACTGTGACGTGTAAGTGCAGCCTCCGCCAGCTGGACTCGAGGAGGCTGATGCAGTCGACTGCCCCCCAGGATTTTAGCCTCGTTGTGGTCGGCGACCCAAAAAGTTACGACTGCGAGCTTTACAGCAAGAACTGCTCCCAGCAGCAGTACCTGCAGGGCTGCGGGAACGAGTCGAAGGGATCGTGTGTGACCTGCTCGACCTGTGACGCGGGTCAGTATCAGGTCCAGCCGTGCACGTCGCAGCAAGACAGGAGATGCTCTCCCTGCTCTCAGCTCAGCTGTGCCTCAGGCTTCTACCGGTCGGCGTGCGGAGGAGGATCAACAGGATCCTGCAGGGTGTGCAAGAACTGCTCGGCAGGAGAGGTGCAACTCGTGGGCTGCGCTGAAGGATCGACTCAGCAGGACGCGCTCTGTCTCCCCTCCGGTGCCGCGGGCGGCAGGCAGGGGCAGCTGCAGGTGACCATGACCGTCCGTATCAGCAGCGAGAATGCAACAGCAGAAGCTCTGAGGCAGACCCTGCTCGCCTCCGTCGCTAGACTCGTCAATGTGAGCTCAGATCGTGTACAGGTGGAGGGCCAGGGTGGTCAGCTGACCCCTGCCAGGAGGCTGCTCCTGGTCAGCTCCGACCTGGTGATCAAGATCCTGCTCGACCTGAACGCGGACTGGAAGTCGGTGAGCAAGCAGCTGACGCAGTCAGCCCTCAGCGCGGAGTTGAGCAAGCAGAGCATCAATGTCCAGGTGATCCAAGGAGCGACTCTGAGCATCGTCACCGTTGGCACCGCTGGCAACACGACCGTCGTTGAAAGCACCAGCAGCTCCCCAGCAACGAGCAAGGCTGAAGTTGAAAGCACCTCTGCTCCTGATTCGAGCACGGCGGCTGACAAGGAAGTCCCTCTGACTACCCCGCCGGGGGTCGAGGCTAAGGATACCGGTGGACCCTCGCTCATGCTCATCGTCCTGCTGTCAGTCCTGATCCCCGTGTTTGTCTTCGGCATCGGCTTGCTCATCTACAAGTACTCCTTGCCGACCGCCAAACCGACTTCACGTGAGGCTGCGAGGACAGGGAGAGATGAGGAGGTCGCGGTTCCGGAGGTGCACGAGGCTCCCAGCGACAACGTGCCACCATATCAGGAACCTCCTGCCACCAGCCTGACGGGAAAGCTTCAATATGGCCTCCCCTTCATGTTTGCTTGAGACGACTGAGGGCGGCTGGAAGCCTTGTTGGTCGATAGGGAAGCACATGGTGACTGTAGTGTGAGTGGAGAAAGTAATCGAGCTATCAAGTTATCCAAGTAATCAAGTTATCTATGTGATCAAGTTATCTAAGTTGCGAGGTATCAATACAAATGTCAATTCAGTCATGCCGCTTTGAATCGTATCAGCTTCCAATTTTAATGATGACATAGTGTCATATCGCCGATGCCCTGATGCAGAGGCTGCAGCAAGATTGACCCCAACCACCTTGCTACACCTGCTTTCAAAGTCGAATCTTGATCCCTGTCATGAATCTGTTCCTGAGTGCAGACAGCCTTCATGCCTGCATCTCACGCCTTTCATGCCATCAAAGAGGGAAGAGGAAGGTGGGAGGCGGGGTACTGGAAGGGAAGAGTAAAAGCTCGACAGAGACTCGTGGCATGATTGGTATATAAAATGATCTGTGGACAGAGAAGGGGATCTTGCTTGAGGTAAAGGAAGGGAGAAATCACTCCAACTCTCTCCCTCTCCCTCTCTGTACCCCTCGACCGCACTCGCTATCATCACCCTTGTGCTTCTTCATCTCTGTTTCAGCTCTCCCGTTTCATTCTCCATCTTTCTAGCCTTGCTTGCCTTAAAGAGGGAGGTGGGAATCACCTGAGGAGATCAGTATGATTGAATTGTGCTACAACAATGATTGCTCCCTTCTCCAGTTTCATTTCTCTTTCCATCACTTACTCGTTCCCTCTCATGTCGAAAGTGTAACCCACGACTATGATCGCAGCACACAGCTCGCCTTGCACCTGCTCATCTCTTGCATCTTTCTACAGTAGACTTTTCTCACTTTTTCCCCCTTTCCCCTCAGTCATCCTCTGGTATCATCTTTCCTCCCCTCCCTCCCTCCCTCCCTCCCTAACTTGATCGCCGGGTGACGGGGACCCTGACCCGGGTGAAAGGCTAACGTGACCAGGCACGTAACGCATCACGTGGAGCGAAATGGGACTTCTTTATATTTCGGATCCTTAACCCATAGGACATTTCTCCCAGGGGAAGAAAACCTCCCTTTAGACCGCTGTTTCTGGACCCGATCCTGGCGGCCGGGCCCGTTGTGGGACCGACTGCAGTCTTTCACTGCGCTAAGGAACCCTGAATGCCCGGCGGATGCTAAGAGTCCGGATATTTGCTCG